CCCCCCGGAAAAACGCCACTCGTCTTTGATGAATGGAAGAGACAACAATTTATTGACTCGCGTGACTCGATAAAGGCAGAGCGATGATTAGCCTCAGGGTGGAACAGCACTCAGAATCTCCGAGATCCCGTCAATACCATTTTTCCCGTGGAAACGACGATACCAGAGCCTTCGACGGCAATGCCTATTGCCAGTGAGAGTACCACAATCCCTTCCGTTACAACCACCATGACAACGTTCTCAACTCCTGTCACCGCCCCGAAGTCGCTGCCCAACAACCAGTCTGCGTTGGCGGCATCTTTCACCAACTTCCTCACCGTCTCGATACACCAGATCCTGTTCCTCCGGTCAGTCTACCCGCGAGCAACTTTCCTCCCTGTCCGGGCGTACAATTATCCTGTCCGGCAATCCCGTCACCCGAAGGTGTGTGACTACATCAATGATGCGTCGATCGCGGTCGGAACCGAAATCTTGAAGGGCACAATCACCGCTGTCAGCATCATTATTTCTTCTCTCCGTACCAACCAGCCCCTCGAAAGATATGCGTTCGATCTGTCGGGCTTCCCCCGCGTGCCCGCCGGGGAGATTCACACCACCTTTGAGGATCGAAAGGAGGATCCTTCCAAGGCAGGCATTCCTTTGCCCGATCGAGCTCCCGCTCCTCCCACGGTCGACCTGGAAGCACAGTTCCGCGCCTGCCTCGCCCGCCTGGCATCTGCGTGCGCACGGCTGACGCCATTGCCTCGAGATGACGAGTTCAGTTTTACCGTCTGCATCGAAGTGCGCGAGGACGCTCTTCCCCCGGCCGGATCTACGACCGAAGAACAGACATGGATTGTCGCAGAACCGGGCAAAGTCCACCTCAGATCGTGTACTGCGCCGTATTCGGTCTCGAAGTTGAGAAATGGCGAACCGCAGCCGCCACCCCCGAAAGTGTCAAACGGACGCGCCAAGACTGTCCCAGTACGCCGGGTAGAAGCTGGTGAACTTCGACTGGAACTATGGGTGGAGGAGGCGCGGCAAAAGTTCAACGAACCCGTGGATTCGGAGCATCCGCCATGAACTCCGTTTCAATCGCGATCGCCGCATCCTCTTTGTCTAGTCCATTGGAACTTTCCGACCAGACACTTTCTGCTCCTTTACTCATTATCTTTCTCTTTTTTTTTTCATATATCTCATTCTATTTAGCGTGGCCAATGATCGAACATACATGATGGATGAGGAAATTTAGGAATTGTCGTCGATTGAGCGGCGCAAATATATAAAATGGGGAGCGGACGATTTTTGGGACTCGCATGGCATCATCATAGATTTGGTTGATATCTTTTGTTGTCTTTCTGTGCTCGCTCTTCGTTTTGAATGTTTCCTGATCATCATTTTGTCACGTTCCTTTTCTTATCACTTCGATTGTCATTTCTTTATCAATTCTTTCATTACTCTTTTTTTCTTTTCCCCCTTTCTTTTTTCACCCTACTTTCATATCTCTCTACTTGTTCACATCCTCTCTTCAAGGGACTCACCATCTTCCATACCATCTCCTATTTGTATCTCTCTCTCTCCTATCATTTGTCGAGCTCGTTCTCTCTCCAACTATATGATCCTAGCAAATTCATATCACCGGCCAATTTCAGCGCCATGGAAAGGTTGCCTGCCTGCCTTGTTTGTCCTGGGTGATTTATGCTTTTATGCGTCGAGCCGAGTGACCCGAGGGAGTAACTTATTTGGGTGAGTTGTTTGTAATTAATCATGTGGTTTGACGGGAGATGCCACCACCACTGGCACACCCGCCAGCCAGCCTTTTTTTCCCCCCCGAGCTCGTCGTCGCATTTAAACTTCCCCCTCTCCGACCCCTTCATGAAAAAATCCGGTTTTCTCCCCTGTTCGTCCCCGTGTTTGCTTCGAGTCTTCGTGTGTTTCCCCCAAACTTCCAAGTTCCGAAAGCATGAAATCCCACCTTGAAAAGAGGGAAAAAAAGAAGCGCATAGTTCAGACTACTATAAACTACACACATGACATATAAATACATATTGAATAACAGCCAATGAGATGGGTCACCCTGAAAAAATGGAAACTTTCCCCCCCGCACTTTTCCTCCCCCCCTTCAATCCAACCACGGAACATTGAAAAATTCAATGCGCAGGATCGGTTTGTGTATTTGTCTTCCCGGAATGCCACAAACTGCCGCGGGATTTGGAAGGGGCCCAGCCGGTGATTCGATAGTCTGGAAAGAGTAGGGTAGGTCGGTAGCGTGCCCAGTGTTCGAGATATTAGGATTACGATTGTGCTTTCGAATTCGCTTTTGGGGGTGGAAATGAAGGAAGAATGGAAACGAGTGGAAGCCTGCTGACTCTATCTTTCTGGGGAGAGGATCGCGTTGAATAAATGGCCCGCCCTCCTTTCGTTGCCTTTTCTCGTTTCTCTACTGTGTCCTCACCGGGTTCAGACGGGTGGGGTTGGGGTTGGGAACGCTCGGCCTTATCTGGAAGGGACTTTTGTCAACCTAGGTCGGGTTCGGTGTTGATACAAGTAACTGTGCCTTTTGCTTGGGATAGGTACATAGGACTAGTCGGTGTCTGTGGTGATGACGAGTCCGTAACCGTGGTAGCTGGTTGGAGAACCTACGCTGCTGATCCAGTGGAGGAGAGTGAGGGGGCTACGTTGGTGAGCATGGGAGCATGGCCCTGGAGCTTAATCTCCAAAGCTTTGGAAAAAGCCATACGATGAGACGATGACGACATCCAAAGTATAGGTTGTCCTATATCTCCCGACTCTGGGGAGCTCGAAGTCCAGGTCCCCGATATCTTTCAAGAAAATATGATTCATCTATTTGCCTGTCTGTCTGCCTACATGTCTGTCTCCTTGCCATGGGAATTTAGAACTCAGAGGGATCGCACAAGTAAAGTTGTTGCGCAAGAAGTCAAGCTATGCCAGGCTATGCCAGGCTATGCCAAGCCAAGAAAGAACCGATTGGTGGTGATGGGTGAGACAACTAAGATGACGACGATGATGATGATGAAGATGGGACGCCTGAACTCCTTAACGCTTGCTCGACCGTGGATGGTTAACAGAAAAATGCAAAAGCAAAGAATACGGTAGCTGGAGTCAGCGAAATGGGATGATATTCTTGACTCTTGTTCTCTCCAAGACCAACCCAATCAAGGCAGGGGATAGAAGCCCTAAGTTTATTCAAAAAGACCAAAATGCGTGAATGCTAGGAGGCTGTCATGGTCAACGCCACATGGTCAGCAAGTAGCATTTCAACGGACAATCACAGTGGTAGGATCAATGTCTGCGAAAAGCTTCCAGCACGGGAGTTAGTCGCGAGCATATCCTCCCAGTCCGCCGGATGCTCGTCGAGCGTTCTGAGAAACGACAGGTGGTACGTAGTAGGGTGGATATTGGATGGGTTGTCCCGGTCCGACCGGATTAGGCGCAGGGTTGTTTACGACGTTCTGCCGAGGAAAGCGTGGTGCCATGGGTACAGCCTGGCCTTGGTTCCAAGAGTAGTAAGGAGGAGGATCAATTGGCATCACCACTGGGTTGTTGGGAGGGTGGTCCTGCGGTAGAAAGCCAGCTTCGCCAGGGTTTATCTGATTTATTTGTGGATTGGGAAGAGGGTAATTGTTGCCAGGAGCATTCCAAGGAAGTCCGCCGGCGTAGATATCTTGTATTCTGTTGGCATAGTAATTTCTGTCGGGTGGCTCTCTATTTGTCTGAGCTTGCACGTGGTTGTTGTAAGGTTCTCTGAAGGGCACGTTAGCAGGATCAGCTTGCCGTATGACCCGAGGCGCTTGTATGTGCTGCGGCGCTTGCATAGGTTGACGCGGCTGGTTTGGCTGTGGAATCCGAGGGATTTGGATATTGAGGCGAACCTGAGGTTGAACAGGCTGACGCGCGCCATCTGGCTGAGGAGGCCTTGCATGCCGATTTTGTGGTCGACCTGGCCGGGGCGGTCTAGCCTTCTGCTTCTGTCCCGGACGATTCACTCGGATCTCTTCCTCGGTGACATCAGGGTTCTCTGCCAGGATCTTGGCGATAGCATCTGCTTCGACTTGCTCAATTTCTTGTTCAACCTGTCTTCCAAGTGGAAATCTTTCATTCTGATCCCACAAGCGGCAATGGTTTGGCGGTCGGTTGAAGTGTTCGTAGGTGGCACCGAGTTTGACGTTGCAGACATAGCACATCTGAGTCCCGCATTTCGAGCAGGTCATCTTGTTGCAGCCATCAGTTTTGACAATCTTGACCTTGCAGGTTGGACAAGGCCGAATGAGTGCCTCACTCAGAGCCTCCTCCACGCGATGGCGGTATGGAAGTCGCTTGTCTTTCCTAGCCTCGTCGCAGCTGCTCGGGAGATGACTTTTCTCCTTACACAAACGACAGCTAACCACTTCGCAGTCAGGGTTCCTGCATCGAAACTCTCGATCCTCATCTGCGGGAGCACATATCGCCTGGAAGTCGCAGAAGGGACAGGACTCAAGGCCTTCCAACCCAGCTTGCTCAATCTCGTCCTGCTGCTGCAGAGCATCGAGCTTTTGCATGATCTTCGCTCCCAAGGCACGCTCAAGCCCGTACCGATCAAACTTTGCCTGACATCCACTTCCGTCAAAACATTGTAGCTTGTACCTCATCATCCCAATTTGTGTCTCTGCCGAAGACTTCATGCAAGTATAGCAGAAGAAATGAACCTCAAGTCCTTCACACGGCAAGGCTTTGTTCGCGGGGACCTCTTCGAAACAGCACTGGCATTCCACTAGGTTTCCTGTTTGAATGTTGCGCTCTTCGGCTTCCTTGTCATCGACATCTTCGAAGTTGTTACGGGGGACCGCTTCGTTGCCATCAAGCGTCAGAGACTGGAGTTCCGTATCCAGGGAAGATGACCTACCTGCATTCATCTCCTTAGTCTGCTTTGCAGCTTCTGCAGCCGCCTGGAGTTCGCGTTGAATGTCTTTCATGATCGGTAGAGTTTCCGGGTACGACATGTACAGGCTTGTCTGTGAGCGAGGATTGCGTTTCCGTTCGTTCGTGTAAGGCTTGGATGACTTGGCCGAGGGGTCTTCCAGGGCATACAGACTGAGATATGCAGCGTATAACTCTCTTTTGTGCAGGGTGAGGTTCTGGATATATGGCCAGGGCACAGTAGGGAATTCAATCGCCAACAACCGAGCACTAAAAAGTGATCTTCAGCTTGCTTCGTATAGAGGGACAACCGGTAGGAGACTCTCTTACGTGATCTCAAGGTACAGAGGACTTCCTCTTTGAGGAATAGCTTTTAGCCACTTCTGAATATCGTCTTCCTTCTTGGAGACTGAGTCACGCTCGTCAAGTGTTCTCTTAAGCCTCTTCTGCTTCTTGGGGTAAGAAGGGTTCTGAAGGATTTCTTCGATGACAGCGCCTTTTGCTAAGTCTTTATCAGTGGCAGTGAGCAGAATCTCTGTCTTTGCTTGAGACACCAGCGCAAGATGGCGATCGATCAAACCCTTTAAATAATCAGGATCAATGTCTGGGAAGATCTCCAAGATCTCGGTTAGCGGGTGATCATCTTCTGTAAGATCAATGAGCACAGGAAGACCCTTTGAAGCTCTTTGTTGTTGTTGTTGCACGGCATTTGAGTCTAGGTCAGTGTTGCGGTGCGGAGTGTGCACTGCTGGGATAGCCCCCTCATGCATCGATCGATCTGTCCTTTGTTTCTTCGTAGGCCTTTGATCTGCGGAGGCTGGGTCGTGATTTGGCTCATTATTGTTCGCGGACGTTCCCCAGCCACCGGTCTGATCCAAGTCAGCCAGCAGGAGGTCTCCATCAAAGCCATAATAGGCGCTCTCATAGTCCATGGTCTGGAACTCCTCTAATTCCCGGAGGACTTGCGATACGCTAGATGCGTAGGGATGACGAGATGCCATGGTTGCATTCGGAGAAGTTGATCAAAGTCGGTCCTGAGACCCAGAGAAATGTTTTTCTGCGACTCGTCGGATCTAGTTGGTAGGATAATGGTCCTTTGGTATGGGAAATGGGCCGAAGGCTAGATTAAGGAATCATGCACCGAGTACAGTGTCTTGTAAATCATGTTGTAGAGCAGGATAAATGCCGATATCAGGGGCGAAGTGAATACGATGGTAGGTACTACAGGAGGCGTTGGACTAGGCACCCAATTAGTGTTCATGAAACAAATACTGAGTATGATTAGAGAAGTTGTGAGCTGTGAGGGTGTTGGCTTTGTGATCTGCGCTAGCTTTGGTCAAGCACGGGCGGGAGATTGCGGCTAGGCTAGGATAGGCACTGATAACAATAAAAAGCTGCCCGCCGATAAATGCTTTGAATGTGTGAAAGAGCGACGACGGCTTGACAAACCGGAGATAATAAACACTCTCTCAGTGAAAGTGATGCCAGGCTTCCTGAGTGAAGGATGGGTGAAAGTTGATGTTGGAAGGAGGGGATAGTGGCGGAAAGGGAAACACATCAACATAGCATGGATTGAATATTAGCATATCGTAGTGGGGAAAAAGAAGTGGTTGATTGACTGACGACTGACGGCTCTGGGGAAAGGGAAAAGGAGCTGAGAGGGGAGGGAGGCAGTAAGTGGTAGCTGCCTGGCTGACCGCCTCCCGGATCCGGGGAATGACAGCCCCCCCCCTCCCTCCCTCCCTTCCTTCCTCTCTCCCTCCCCCGTCGGTCCCCGATAAGCCGGAGCTCCGGTTTATCAAGAATTGAAAGGCTAGCGACGGGGTATGTAGTTTTTAGTTACTTTTGTCTTTCGTTACTATCAAATTTACCTATCAATAATAATCGTGACCTTCCCAAATCTTCAACACACACGCCTTACAACATCACCTATTTTAGCAGCACTCTACCCTTGGCATTGGTCATCGCCGATCCCAAACAAGCGTGAACAATTGCAGCTGACCTACATCATTCGAAGTATAGTTCGGTTAAGTTGGTACAGTACGCATCTCAACTGGGAAAAGGCGTCGCTTGTCGTCGCTTGTCCTCGGCCACCACCGCGAATAGGAAACCTTCCCCGTCGGAGTTGACTTCCTTTGGTACCATTGTTGTTAGCTTGCCGTATCGTCATCGAGCCAGGGCATTCATTTCTTATATTACCAAAGACCCCTCACCCCTTGCAGCTCCTCCTTTCTCCCATTCACTTGTGAAATACGTACAGTCCACGGGGTTTACCGTCGCGTTTACAATTGAGTGTGGAAACACGTCACCGGGTCATTTGCCTTCGTACATATACCAAGCTCCGTCCGTTCCACGGTTCCTCTCCATCCCAAGACAGGAAGCCTCCCCATAAGTGATTCTAAAGACACCATGATTGCTGCCGATAACAACTACACCAACGGGGTTGCTCTCCCGCAGGGTGATTCTCCGGACCTCGTGTTAGTCCCGGCGACTCCCGCGGAGAAGATTGAAGCTCTGAAGCTGAACAGCATCGCCTGGAAAGGCTGTCTGGACCTTGACACGTATATCGCCCGCGAGAGCCATCTTCATGCGCAGCAGTTGATCAAGCATGGTCTGACCAGCTGGATTTTGGTCGATAACAGAGAGCCTGAAGGAGAGAGAACCATCCTAGGCTCATGTGAAACGTACAAGAAGAAGGCCTGGCTGGCGCACGACGGCCGAGTGGAAGATGCCTCAACGCACGGCATAGGAAGTGTTTACTGCCGGCCTGAGTTCAGAGGCAAGGGATATGCGAAGAGAATGATGGAGGAACTCAGCAAGAAGGTCGACACCTGGAATATGGAGTCTGAAAGCAGGAAGAAGGCTCTCTTCAGCATCCTCTTCTCCGACATCGGGAAGAACTTCTATGCTCAATTCGGCTGGAAGCCATTTTTGTCTTCTCATTTCGCGCTCCCAGCAGTCGCTGAGGAGCAGTATTCTTCGACCGGGGCTGAAGATATCCTTCCCAAGGTCAAGACGTTGACTGCAGAAGATGTCCGAGACCGCATGTGCAATGAGCAAATCCTGGAGAAAGAGCGCGAGTTCCTCCGAGTGGAATCCCTGAAGACGCACACTCCTAAAATAGCAATTGCGCCGGACTATGATCATTTCAAATGGCATTGGGCAAGGGAGGAGTTCTTCATTAAGTCTCTCTTCCCCGATAGAGAAGCCCCCGCAGTGAAAGGTGCCGGCGAAGAAGCAGCGCGCGTATACTGTGCATGGAACAGGAATTTCGGTTCAGAGCCGGAGGAAAACACTCTGTATATTCTGCGGTGGGTGTATGAGGAGCCGACGTCGCCCGAAGAGACACAGCGGACAATCAAGGCCATGGCTGCCATATTGAAACGCGCGCAACTCGAGGCACACCAGTGGAATATGAGCACGGTGGAATTCTGGAATCCGACACCCCTTTTGCAAAAGGCAGTGGCCATGATCGCGCCTAATGCCGAGTTAGTTCACCGCCAGAAGGACAGTATCGCATCGTTGAGATGGAGCGGCGCCGAGCATGGATTGGGCGAGACAGTGGAGTGGTGCCTGAATGAGAAATATGCCTGGTGCTGATTTGCTTTTGATTTGCATTTTCGGAGCCGTGCATTTGGTGGAAGAATACATTAGAGCGTCACCGCTTCTGTCGCTTTTGATTCTTGAAGAGCTCGTGCCAGTTTCTGGACTTCTTGGCCGCGGTCGACGCACTCGCATCGGTGGGCAGATTCTTCTTGGACCGCTGTCGTTCGAATTCCGTCACGAAGCAGATGGTCGTCGGGTCGGGCAGTTGATAAACGGCGTCCTGTAATTAACACGAAGGTCAATGGAGACCGTCTTTTGCATGCACAGAACAAATACAAGCTTACCGTCAATTTAGCCAGAGCCACCTCCTCCCTCCAAGCCTCAGGTAGATGATCCTTCCAAGCGTTGAGGAACTCACTGCGGCCAACCGCCGCACTCGCCATCGGCGCCATGGCCTCCAGATACGTCTCTCCAACCCATCGTACACAAGCATCCTTGTCCAAACTAGCCCCTACACCAGTAAGCCCGCAAGCGTCAGCCAGCCACAACAACCAGACCTCCACACAGAAACCGAGAAAGAAAGAAAAAAAAAAAAACTCACACTTCAACGTCTCACCAAGCAAGGACTTCCCCTCCTCCCCCTCAACCACGCGTCGCACGACGGCCTCAAACAACGCGCGGGGGAACTGCCCTTCTTCTTCTTCTTCTTCTTCCTCCTCATCCTCCTCCGCCACCACCGACTTCCACAGATCATCCACCAGAAACTGCGCACGTAGATCAATCCCCTGCACCACCGCCCCATCAACCACCCGCTTCCACACCTCCATCATGACCTCCGGCGTCGGCGCCCACGCCCTGCCCCGCCACACAAACGCACACCCCTCGACCCAGCCCCTCTCACACTCCGCCCGGGAAACCGGGATATCAGCGAACACAGCCTCCATCACCTTGCCCTCCGCGACCCCCGCACCACCAGTACCACCAGTAGCCGCAGCAGCAGCAGCAGCACTCACCCCCCCCGCAAACCTGCCCACCAAGCCCCCCAAAAACTCCGCAGCCTGGAGTCCCCCCTCCGGCACATGCAACTCAAGCGTCGACCCGCACTTCGCGATTGTTGTCATCGTCTCCGCGAGATCGACACCCACATCCACATCCACATCCACATCCACCTCAACATCAACGTCCATATCCCCACCCTGCCCCCCCTCCTGTGATGCGGCAGCAACAACAGCAGCAGCCGCCCTGCCATCCACAACAGCCAGATCCTCGCGCCGGAGGACCGTATCACCTCCCCCCCTATCGCTAGGCCTCAAGATATGCAGGGAATTCGAGGACTGGACCTGACGGATGCGGTAGGTCTGGGTCGGGGTGCAAAGATTGACGTATTCGCGCGGGTCACTCGTTTTGCTGGTGGCGGTGGTGGTGGTGACGGGGGCGGGGGTTTTAAGGTATAGTCTTTATTTCCTCCGTGTTAGCATACCCCTCTCGCCTCAAGTTCCCGGGCCAGAAAGGGGAACAGAAACTGCGTACGTGGGAGGATTCTCTGAAGCGAGGAGGTCCGCGACCTCCGGGGGGAGTTCGAGTAATCGGAAGCCTTGTTGCGGGGCTGTGTGGGTGAAGAGGATGCTTTGGGCGGATTGGGTGGACATTTTGGTATCCTCCTCTGACTGGTGGGAGTTGTTCTTGTAGGGAATTGTTCGAGGGGAAAGGGGGATTGAAGGAATGAGGAGGGAGGAGGAAAGTCAGAGGCTTCCTCTGCTGGTGGAAACTGGAAGATTTGACGCGGGACGCGTTGGATGGAGGGAGGTGCCCGCGGCATTGATAGACGCACGGGCCACCGCTTAATGGGCGGTTGCTCTTATCGGTTTCTTCCGATGTACTATTCCATGGACATGGGGTTTATTTGGTCAGTTTTTTCATCTGGAGTGACTTTTTACGGGATAAAACCTTCAGTTACTCTGATTGCGTTAATTATGACTCATAGATAGAGGATGAAGAAAGGTTGAGTCTATGTTTTATACTATAATCGGAATTCGACCCATCATAATAAGGTCGACGACACTATGCAAAATATTCTAGTAAGCGATTATTGACAAAATAACGAACGCAGAGAACATGAAAACGCCAGGGTACATTGGAAACATGACAAAAGGACGTCAAGCCTATGACCAGCACAGGAGTGGCATGTCAAACATGAACAGAAGATAGCTCGATACCTGCCAGCAGAAGAAAGCTCCATTAACGCTTAGCTTCTTCCATCTGAGTACCAGAAACCTCGCCGCTCTGTCCAGCACCACCCCTCTTTTTCACAGCTGGCTGCGCTAGAGGACCTTCCTCCGAGCCCTTAAGCGTCTCGCTTGAGGAACCTGAAGCGGCGGTCTCTTGCTTCTGATCCTCGGCGATTGCGTCCTCGACGAAGGCATGGTCGATGTCCCACTGCGTCTTGGCATCCTTAAACAGGGTCTGAACGCGCTCGGCACGGTCGGCCTGGTCTTTCTCCTCCATCTCGCGTTCTTTCCGTTCCTGCTCCATCTCCTCCATGTGCCGCAGGTCGTCCACGCTCGGCTCGTAAAGATGCCAGATAGTGTAATGTGGGAGGCCGATGACCGAGAACCCCATGCGCTTGGCCATCTACCGAGTGTTAGTCTCATGCACACGCAACGACAAGATAACAGCCCCGCCGGATACGCACCTTGCCGAAGGCTTCTGTCTCGGCATGCTTCTCGAAGCTGAAAGCTGGGAAGTGCACCCCGGAGCGGAAAACCCGTGCCTTCGCCAGAATACTGACACCTCCCACGCCGTCGAGTTCCATCTCCATGTCCGGATCTCCGTATGGGTCGCGCAGGTAGGCAAGATGAGGACGCCAGGTAGCATATTCAGCATACCCTTCCACGATGACCGCGTCTTCATCCAACGTGTCGGCTAGCGCCAACGCCGTTTCGGATTCTTGCCACGAGTTCAGGTCGTACGGTTGCTCTCCGCCCAGCCAGTCGGGAAGGGGTCGCCACACATCTGGTCACCATAAGTCAGAATGAGCATAATACAAACAAGCGAGCAGCCACCAAAGTCGGAAAAACTCACTCGGTACAATGACATCCTTATCATGCCGCATCAGATCCTCCAGAATCGTCTGCGGCGCGGTCAAGACATCCGCGTCGCGCCAATAGACCCAACTATGCGTAGGGCGCAGCGTGGCGCTCAGCAGCCAGTTCCGAGCCTGGGCCATCAGCTTCCGGCGGCTGGCCTGCGCGGCAAAGCCGTGTCGGCTCTCCACATCCTGGTTGACCAGCTGTCCAAAGTCCTTCTGGATCACGGAGATCTCGCCGTACGGCATCTTCGGATCCGCATCGTGCTGGAGTTCGTCCAGCATGCGCGACAACATGCCCATCGTGTCATCCTCGGAGTCCGACACCAGGAACGCCAGGTCAATCAGATTGTGCGGGTAGGTGAGGTTCCGCAGGTGCGAGAAGAACATGGGCAGGTGGGAGGCGGCATCGCGCAGGGGCGTGCACATAAGCACCCGCTCCCCGCGCTCCCAGCCACTGGCGGTTCCTTGCACTTTGGAGAGGTCATAGTATCGGATCGTCTCGATCTGAAGGTCTTCGTAGGGGTGGAGGAGGCCGAGCGATACCACCGGAAGGAGGGAGGCGCGCAGCGACGGGAAGATCAGGACGAGGAGCAACAGGGAGACACCGCAGAGAAGACATAGTCGCTGGAAGAGTTGCCTCCGGCGGCGCAAGGCAGGTTGTGCCCGGGGTTGAAAACTACTAAATGCCCAGGTTAGCGGACGGATTTACTCGGTTTTTCGTCGACACGGCGCTGTATCCCATCGACGTGATACAGGATTCTGGCGCGCGACATTCGCCGAGGAAAGGACCGCGTACCGGTGGGGGGAGATGGAGAATGAGTTGTTGCTCTTGCCACGGGGATAGGCAGCGTAGCCGTTGCCGAAGGCGTGATGCCTGTTCATCTCTCCTAAGATGACATGCAGCTAAGGAGATCGAACTGACTTTACAAACCAATTGTCGAGGTTCTGATGTTGGAGAAACTTCTTCCTCAGACTACCGACGAAATCGCAGCCGACGGAGAGGATGAAGAGGTGAATTGAGGTTGGAGAAATGAAGACCAGCGGAAATATCGCAAATCCGCGATCGGTGATGAAGAGAAAAGATGCGGAACGAAAGACAAGGGAGGCAGGGAACTGAACAGCCCCCGAGGCTTTGACCGGAGGAATGATTGCGTCGAGAGAGGAGGTACGTAGGCTCCAGGCGGTCCTTTGGACCAAAAGCCGCCAGGTGGGATGCGCGGGCGAATCTGGACCCAGACCCGAATGCGGTACGAGACCCAATCTTCTTCCCGCCGCCCGCCCGTTTGCAGCCATCTTCATCATGGATCACTGCTAGCACTTCCCACATTTCTCAAGCCGAAGAATGAACGAATGAAAGAATGACTGACTCAGTTACTCTTCCTCATTGGACTGATTCTGCACGTATACAGATATAACCTCTATTTACAGAACATCCCTGTCATAACATAGGTTCCGCAAAGAAAAAAAAGATAAGGGAAAAACTCCAAGATTGCAAACCGATAAGACGCCTCAAAGAATGCTCGGGATTTTTGAACTCCTTTCTCCCAAACGACAAAACCGACATGATGAATGCAAGATTAGAACGCCATGACCAAGATGAGAACTCCAAATACCCGAGTAATCCCGATCAGTGGGCACTTAGTCGGGACACCCTGGACTGGGGCGAGCCCATGCCCTTGACACCGATCTCGACTTGTCGCATCACCTTCTGCAGCAGCGCATCCATGCGCGGCAAGTCTCGCAACACGGGAATGACGGATCCGGCCTCATACTCGCTATCCAAGATATAATAGCGCTCTCTGCCCCAGTTCTCCACCGTTTCCCTCTGGAATGCGACTTTCGCAATGACCTTGGCTGGAACGCTAGCCTTGTTGATTGCACTCTTGGAGAAAACCCGCAAGATGGGCCGGAGTCCAGACCGGGTCTGATGCGCCATGCGCACCGACAAAGGTGCCGAGGCGGTGAGATGGCTCTCCCCGGTCATAAATCCGGGGTCCATCGTATATACATTGAGCGAGATGTTGCCCGCCTACAATAACACAGTCAGTCATCACTCTGGAGAAATAAACAAGTGCTCACTCACGAGTACCAGACTCCGGCGCAAGGCATACATAGCAGCGCTCATCAACAGCTTACTACTTCCGAACCGGGCGGTGGCTTCCTTTGCACTGATCGCGGTTCCCGGGGCCTGGCTGACGTTGTCCGGGTCCTGCTCATCGAAGTAGTTCAAGGACCCTTTGGACATGGCGGCGCATCCGATGTTGATGACTCGGGCACCGCCGTTTGGGGTTCCATCGCCGGCTCGGAAGGCCTCGAGCAAGCTCACCGTCAACAAGAACGGGGCGATGCAGTTGGTTTGGTAGACCGGGTCGTACCCATCTCGTGTGACTTGATCGGTGACGTATGACGAGCTGGCCGCGGAATTGATCAGGAGGGTGACAGGAGGAATCTCCTTACTGCGAACTCTCTCCACAGTATACTGTGCAAAGCTCGCTACCGAATTGAAGCAGGCCAGATCACACTTGACCACCTCGACGGACCGCGGCCCAATCAAACGGATGCGGCTTAATACATCCTTCACGGTGTCGGATCTGATATCCCGAGCCACCAGCAACAGGTGGACAAAGGGCTGTGCTTTGGCGATGGAGACGGCAACCTCTGATCCCAGCAGGCCACTGGCCCCGGTGATAATGGCTGTACCATGTAGTGGAGTTCCCATGGTAAGGACGAAGCACAAGAATCGAGCAGGTGGTAGAAGAAGTTTACTGCAAGGGATACAGTACAGATAGATCGTGCAACGTTTAGAAAGGTCAGTCCGACATGCTTCGACCCGAAGCCAGCAAGTCTAGACAGAGAACAGTGAATGGCGACGCAAGATCTAAGGAGGTTAGAACGCGGTTATAAATCTATGCGCACGAGAAAGTCGGTCCGCTTCCAAGTGAGCCAGCCGACAAGCCCGACTAGTCAAGTAGTAAGTAACAGCAGTAGACGATTTTAGGGGCTAAATTCTGTAGAGGCCAGGCCGGGCGGCAGGCGAATGGAAAAGAAAGCCCGAGATGATGCCAATTCAGACAAATCAGAATATAAGTCGAAGGCGGAAAAAGAGTGTAATTTTTTTTTCCAACAGAAAAAAAAAACAATAAACAAAAAAAAAAGAAGGGAAAGATGAAAGGAGGCAGGACCAAGAGGAAAAGAAGAAGAAGAATAATACCTGGAAGAACCACTAGAAGCCAGTCGATCGGGATTGCAAACCAAGGAAAAAAAAAGGTGCTTCCCAACCGAAAACCGGCCTTGCGGTAAGGGAAGGATGATTGATGATGTGCCAGACTGAACCCAAAGGACCTCCTTCCCCCCAAGACCTAAAGACCCAAGACCCGAAGAGCCCCTAAAAAAATAGTGAGATCCCCCAAGAGTTCAGCGACACCAACCAGAGTGAAACACCGGGACTGTGAGTGGGGGGTTTCGTTTGGTGGGAGGGGAGGGGACGGTTCCACCTCGGAAGGGCCACACGCGATTCCCGATGGTGTATTTATAGTAGATGGGAGAGATCTTGGTAGACTAGTACCTCTCTTGGTGGGTTTCTTTTGAAATGGGTCAATACCCAGAGATGAAGACGAAATATGAAAGCGAACAAACAACGAAGTGTTGCCGAATCAAAATGGATCGAAATGAAGCGAGAAAGTTGAAGAAAGACACTGTTGACCAGCCAATTTCAAGGACGGACTGTCCATAATAAATAGTACTGATCGATCGATATTTGATAAGATGAGGATGGTCAGTAACTCGACCGGATGGACGACGGTTCATGCCTCTTCCATCCAGGGTACAGAACAATCTGCTCGTACAGAGGCTGTCTGGCAAGTTCCCAGTTCTATTCTAAGCCAAGCGGGCAGTGAAAAAAAAAGAAAACGAAAAGAAAAAAAAAGTCGAGTGTTAGGTCACCCAGATCAGGTCATAAATCAGGTCATATTGGGAGGGGAAAAAGGGAGACTTGCAGGCGAGACATACATACATCGGACATGGCCATTTGACTGTCCCAGTCCAGTTGAATCGCCTCCAGGGACTGTAATAATCCTTCCATTATTCCAAAGTGCCCCATAATGATCCATTCGTTTAGCATACCCCCTCCTTCAAAGGTTCCTAGTACATTAGGACCCATCTAATCCCTGCTTGAGTAGTGTCAAGCGAGTATGTATGACTGAATGTAGGTATGGTTGAATGTAAGGATGTAAGTAAGTGAGTAAGTTATCTTGGTCGGATGTACTGGACGTAGTAGGAAGGAGTGTAAGAGTGAGTCGAGTCGGTCCGGGGAGAAAGCTCGAGAAAGAACGAATGCGACCCAATGAATCCGAATGATTAAACTCCCCAACTTCCCCAAGTGACCTCTCTTTGTGTGTTTATTCTCCGATGCTTTCGTTTACCCCGGACCTCTTCGAGGTTGTTTCGAGGTCGGATGACGGCAACCTATGTGGGCGAACTCTCAAACCAATTCCCAGAACCGTGGAGAGGACTTAACTCACACACTCCTCAAACAAAACAAAACAACCACCAGTCATTGACCATCAACCCGCAACAACCGCAAGCTTTGGCCCAAAAACAAAGAGGGGGGAGGGGGATTGTCTCCGCTACCAGCTGTGGATGACATCTCATCAAGCGGGGGATGGAGTCACGATCTCCCCCAGTTCCGCTGGTTTAAGGTCCGTGAGTTTCTAAGGGAGGGAACTTTGTTTCTCTTCGCATCGACCCGGAGATCCGCAACCCCCGTCAAAACAAAACAAACAAAAACAGAAAGGAAAAAAAGAAAAGAAAAGAAAAGAAAAGAAAAGACAAAAAAAAAACAAGAAACAAGGTGGCGTTGATCCGCCCTGTTCGGATAGGGTCGAATCATGAATGTTGCGCGATCGAACGCATGTTCTTCTGCAGCCACCGGGGTAACCGTAGTACGGTATCTCGGTATACAGTACTACTACCTGGTACATACAGAGGAAGGAGCATGTCGACATTGTTGCTTTTTCTTCGTCGTTTGCATTGCGACTATTGTCCTCAGAACCGCGTGATAGAGGTTTGTCATCTGTTAAAAATGGTTAACTAAAAAAAGCATAGGGTGCTCACAGCCTCACAAGACGCACAAAGCTCGGTCGGAGAAGACATATCAGGTTCCGATATCCGAAAGGAGGAGAGAGATATGTACTCAGCTCAGCTGTATGTACACCGGGCAGTTGTTACATGTACCCTGGAGGCTGGTAGTACTCCGTACTCGTCGAACTTTTGGCCGAGCGGTCTGGCTGTCTGTCAGTGACCGTTTAGTCTGACACTTCAAACGTCTAGATCATGGAAGATCCAAAAGTTTAGCCTGTCGGCTTTGCATCTAGACAACTCGGGGCTGGAACATGGCCAGTCCGGAGCCCGAATCTCTGGGTTACTCTTTTGTATGGCTGTGCTGTACAATACTAGACTAACACTGTACCCAAGGCATCATCGGATGGTGGGAACCACTCCTACTACCAAAGCAGTCTTCAATTTACGTGCTACGACATCATGACTTCGGGGTTGGTTATACGAGAGAACGAGGAATAACCCCGCTCAGCTCTGCCCTTCTCGACGTGTATTTCTTGGCATCATCACACCTCCTACGCAGCCAGTGCAGCCAGTGCAGTCAGCCGAGTAGTGTGTCAGTAGTTCCGGTGGAATGGACCGCCGTGCTGTCGTGGTTGCACTCATCAACCCTCGCCAAGAACCAGAAAACGCCCGCCCGTCGTTCGTATCCACACGTGTTGATTCCTAAGGTTAGGATATCATCGCTTTGAGGACCCAAATGAGGTTAAACCGTTTACACTACGCGAACTGAACTCAGGGCTTTGTTCTGGTTTGCTGTCGGGCATCCCCGGGGGTTCAGGCGAGAACCAAAAAAGAAGAAGCAGACGAAGGCCATGCTAGTAGGTATGTATGAGTATCTAGCCCAGGATTATCATGGCCGGATTCTCTTGGCATTGCTGACAGGCTTCGGTTCTTGCCTTCAGCTCCTAAGTAGACCGAGAGTGGCTGGCGTCATTATACACACTAAATGTGCCATCACACACGCCTGGGGCCGTCATGTATGGCTTCGGAAGAGGACTTGACAACACAAACACTATTTTGAGGTACAACTGTGCGACCTTCACAGCCGCATCTGACCAGGTCGTCTTGTCTCACCTAAGATCCTTCCTCCTGGGCTTCATGCCGAAATGTCAACTAAGATCTTGACATGTTCATCTTTTTCGTGGATCAGGGCCTCAAATCCTTTTTCGACAATGTCTTCCATTCGAATCTTGCTAGTGATCATGGATTGAGGATTGAGCTTGCCTAAGAGACAACGAATCAGCAATCAGCGAGGGTGAATGGGACGGCAGGGATAGCACGCCACTCAAGCTTACCCGAGCTTATGGCTTCAATGACAGCTGGAAAGATCCCATCGGCAAAGATTGCCGCCCCGATTACATGCTTCTCGTCTAGCACGATGGCCTGGGCGTCTATGATCGGTTTTGCCTCCCAGAGAGACACAATCGTGACTGTTCCTCGGATCCGGATGCCCCGAAGAGCCGTATCCAATCCAGCTTGCACGCCAGAGCATTCAAAGGCTACATCTGCGCCTGCGTTCCCGGTCATTGCCTGTACCATGGAGACGACATCTTGCGTCCGAGGATCAAGGACATGAGTTGCGCCCAATTTACTCGCAAATTCTCGTCGTCGCGACGAGACTTCCGCGACGACGATAGACTCGACTCCTCGGGCTAAAAGCACTTGAACCACAGCCAAACCAATAGGACCCCCTCCAACGACGAGAACAGTCCGAGCACCCTCGAGAGGGCTGCGGTCTGCTGCGTGCCACGCCACAGACAACGGTTCAACAAGCGCTTATATAGATCGCGTCAGCGGATTGCACCAGACTAGCGACAGAAAAGTGATAGAGCTCTTCCCTCACCGCCGATATCCAAAGGGATGGTGTCTGGTAGCGGAATGGCATGGTCGGCGTCAACCACGACGTGGTCCGACAAGCCCCCTGCATTGCCTTGAAAGTTTCTTTTTTCAGCCTGATGATAGCCGAAGCAAACCCAAAAAAAAAGCAAAGGTATAACCTACTACTATAGCCCACAAAGCCCAAATTGCGACAACAGTTCGGAGTTCCGCGCAAACAGGGAGGACAACTCCCGTCGGACAAGTTGGGCCGAACAGCAACCCGATCTCCAACTTTGAGGTCTGCGACAGCATCTGCAACCGCGGCTCCCACCTCCTCGACTATGCCGCTAAACTCGTGGCCCAGGGTTGTTGGGAGCTTTCCCCCGGTGATCGCATGTGGCGTCAGGGGTACCAGATGCGGCCCGCACGTGTACTCATGCAAATCTTGACATCACACACACGAGCCTTGTGTCAAAGATGATCATTTCCAGTTTGCCGTTGGCTGTGCTGCCAAGTATGCTCTTAAAAGTCTGATTGTATTGGACTACTTACCACTTCCGCAGATCCCTACAAACGCAGGTCGGATCTCAATGGAAATGTCAGGGCTGTGGCAACCAGAAAAAGCAAAACAGAAGATGTTAAGCCAGGAATCGCGCGGTATACACACATACCTTGACTTGCTTCTCGCCGCAGACCGGCTCTTCGATCTGATCAACCCGGATGTCTCCAGCTCCGTAGAAGCGGACTGCTCTCATGGTGAAAGATAGTAAATCTCCAGATTTGAGGATAGATGTATACTGTTTATGCTCAAAAATGCACACAGTCCACACTGAATTGAAGTCCAACAACTGGAAGGTTAACTCGGCGGTGGCGTGAAGGAAACCCAGGACTCAAAGAGAAAGAGGATAGATAGGACTATTCGATCCCCATATATATGTCCCTGCATTCTGATTCAGAGGGAGGTTGCAAATGCGGGGTAGAAGAGGAGAAAAGAGGAGTCGAGGTCACTCGGAACTGGAACCAAGCTGTTGCTGCTGCGTTGGTAAAGTGCGGAAAAGGAGGAAGAGGAGGAAGAAGACGAAGAGGGGAAGGAAGGAGTAGCAATATGACTCTCCGACTGGCGGGTGATTAAGTGACTGTCACACTCTGTACTCTGCAACATTGGGAGAATTGTTACCTGAGGCACCTCATAGTCATTTACCTATGAGAAGGCGACTTAGTGTTTGTTGTGCTGGTTACACTAAGCCCCCCCAAACAAAGCACCAGCCATGCATTTGCTCTGCAAGGGAAGGCCATTACCAAAGTAAGTTGATTCTTCGTAAACCATAATGACTTTACCAAAAGTTACTCCGTACAGTTTACGTCGATTTTGTAGTAGAGTCCTAGGAGGAGAATATGGTGAAATGAAATGACATTTTTTCTTTTGGGGTTCGAAAAGGGGACTCGCTAAGTTCTTTCTCTCTCTTTGGGAGGAGGCGCGGGAGGAGGACAAGGTATACGTTATGACAAAAAAAATATTCTTTCACTTCTTTCCTTTGGAAATGGGCTGAACTGGACATATCATGGACATCGAAAAACGCTGTTTACCGAACGGTGGCACCCTTCAAGCTCTTGACGGTGCAGATGCCACCGGAGGCGGTCTTCAGCAGGCCGAGGGCGGGCTTGCCCTCCTGGCCCTGGACGGCGGGGACGGCGGCGCTCTCGAAGGCGACCTCGAGGTTGTCGGTGGTGGTGAAGCCGGGCTGGAAGGTCTCCCAGACCTTCTTCTTGGGGTTGAGGACCTTCTCGGGCTCGCCCTCGGACCAACCGTCGAAAGTGATGCGCTCACCGGCGGGGGCGTCGGCGGGCGGGGCGACGAGCTCGACGGGGCCGGCGTGGGAGTCCTCGCCCTCGGCGACGCGCGGGGAGGCGGCCAGCACCATGGCGACGGACTTGATGCCGCGCATGGTGACGGGCTTGAGGTTGCAGACGGCGACGATCTTGCGGTTCTGCATCTCCTCCAGCGGGATCAGCCCGTTCAAGCCGGAGCACACCGTGCGCACCGTCTTGCCCGTCGCCTCGTCCAGGGAGGTGTTCTCCGTGCCCGGGGCGTCACCGCAGTCGATCGTCGACACGAACAGTGAGTCCGCGTTGGGGTGGTTGATCGCGCGCAGGATGTGGCCGACCCGGAGGTCGATGATGGAGGGGGACGGGGGAGCCGCGGGCGCCGGCGCCGCCTTGGGCTGCTTGGGCTGCTTCTCCTTCTTCTCCTTCTTGGGCTTGCCGCCTTCGGGTTTGGCGGCGGCAGCGGCGGCGGCGGCAGTTTCGGTAGCAGCAGCAGCAGCAGCAGCGGGAGCCGAATCGGCCTTCTGCTTCTTCTCGGCAGCAGGCTTACCCTGGCCGACGACGAGGGGCTTGCCCTCCGCGCCGCCTGCGGCAGCGGCAGCGGCAGCGGCCTTCTCCTTCTTCTTGCGCTCCTTCTCGGCCTTGGCGTCGACGGGCTTGGGCACGAAGCGCACGTCGTTCACGTCGATGGCGACCTTCTCTTCCTCGGGGATCTGCAGGGCGAACAGCGGGCTGTTCTGGACGAAGTCGACGTGGCGAACGATGTGGTGGTAGCCCTGCTCGCCGGTGCGTTCCTCGGGGGACCACTTCTCGACCAGGGGCGCGAGCAGAGCGTAGACGGCAATGTCGGCGACGGAGGGCTTAGCGCCCAGCAGCGTGGTGCGGGTGGCCAGGTGAGTGTTCAGCTGGCCCAGGATGTTGGCGATCACCGTCTGGTCGTCCTTGCCCTGGGCGTGCTGCAGGCCGGAGATCGTGGCCAGCCATTGCTTGACGTCGGCCTCCTCGGTGACGGAAAACTTGGTGTGCGGGAAGATTTTCGGGGTCGCTGTCTGGAGGTCGGGCTCGGTGGCGTCCGGGGAGATGGCGCCCGGGTAGGACCGGTAGAGGAGGGAGAGGAGGGAGGACTCGGGGGCGGAGTTGATAGCCATGTTTGCGAAGGAGCGGATGGCGAGAGGGTGGTGGGAAGAAAGTAGAAGTGAAGGTGTTGGAGAAAGTGGAAGAGGACGAGGCAGAGGAGCAGGAGAGGCAGCGAATAATCTTGCCGTCGCCCAAGGAAGAGGAGCGAACCGCGGGGTTGTTCTGGCGACCCGCAGAAGGCTCACGGCCGCTTTGATGGAAGTCAACTTGCCTCACGAGAGCGATCCCAGTCTAAAGACGGAGATCTTGAGATCTTGGGAATTGGAGATTGAAATTGTTTAGAAAGACTAAAAGTTGCGCTGTCAATTCTACTGTGCGCGGGTAGAATCTCCCTTTTCTTTTCCCCTTGATCTGTGCAATCACAATTTTATGCATTCCATCGACGCTCATACGATGACTCATCATATACATATAACTACGATTTGTGCATCAACCCCAGCTCATTCAACTTTAGACACAGGTCTAATGGTACAATTCCATTTTCTACAGCATGCTATTGCAGCTTTAGATTCTCACAATATTAAGTAAGTTAGATGAACAGAGGTTGTGCTCATCGCAAGACAATCACACGGGCGCCGCGACACCCAGGGAAGGACCACGCATGTCGAAGACAACATAGAAGGCCTTCAGGAAGACGTCACCCAAGATCTGGAGCGAGGCGCCCGAATTTGATTGAATGCCACCATAGCAAACTGAGAGTTGTTAGTCAAGTATCGCTTGTTTATGCCTTTAGGTAGGGTGGGAAGTACTCACGAGCTTGTCCAGTAGTGGTGTTGGTGCCAACCTTGGAGAACTCAATCAGGTTTCCAGGAACCGTAGCCAAGTGCTGCGAGCCGATGGCAATCGAGAAGCTGGGGAGAGTGGTGTTACAAGGGAAGATGTAACCTCCAGCACTGCTCACATACAGGGCGCTAGGCACGTCGGCGTAGTAAGCATCCACCACCTGCTGGTCCATCAGCATGAGAGAAGTGCCGGTATCAGCAATCGCCGTCTGCGTGTTGTTGATCGTCTGGATAGAGCCATTGCCCACTGCGAACTCGGTGGTATCGAACTGCCAGTATCCGTTGGAGCTATCCACGCTGACGTTGGCCATGGTGCCCTGGTATTTGCTCGAATCGATCAGACCGAATCCATACTCGCCTACGCCATCACTCTTGATGGCAGAAGTGAAGACAGGCTCGTCGAGATTAGCCGCAGCATTGGCGAAGAAGGTGTTCTGCGCTTGGGGTTCGATGCTGTTGATGGAAGAGAAACCCAGGCCAACCAGACCGTTTGAATTGGTGTCTTCGATGAAGGACTGGGAGACTTCAGTCGGGATTCCGATGGCTTGGTTCTTGACGATTGCACCGCCGATGTTGACTGTGTCGGTTCCGACAGGACCAGCGGCGAACGAGTTATCACCGTAGGAGACATTGAAAGTTGCGCCGGGCATTTCCTTGAACGTGGTCGAGTTGGCGGGGTTGTACTGGGTATGACCATCAAGGGTCTTGTTGAGACGAGTATCCAGGACCCAGCTATTATCGATCTCTTGTCAGTATCCCGATCAAGTAACTTTTGTACCTGGTGTTTCTTACAAGTCCGCTGAGCCTGTGTCGAAGGTCACGACGATCTTCTGACCACCAATTTCAACAGGCGAAACAAATTCGGCATCGCTTTCGACAGAGGTTGCGCTGACGGCACCAACCTGATCTGGCTCGGCGCTGTTATCGCTGGCAGCGACGACGTTGTGCTTGACAGTGGTAACGGGGGCGAAGTCCTCCAGCTCAATGTTGAGGTTGCTGGGAACAATGCCAAACTTGCGATATGCCTTTCGCAGCGCCGAGGGACCATGCAACTCGCCCTCTCCGCGACGAACCCGACTGACCTTGTAAGATCTTCCCTTATGCTGAGTGCGACCCGAAGTTGGCAAAGAAACAACGCTGTAACTGAAGAACAAAAACAAAAAGAGAGACTGGAGGAGCTGCATGATTGTAGCTCAGTTGGAGTATGTGGATTAGTCTGTTAAAGAGTGAACATCCAAGTCAAGGAGGGTCTAGAAACACAACACAAAAACAAAGAGCGCAATGATTAGTAGTCTTTTGATTGAAAGTGAGACTCCTTTCCTGAAGGAACAGCGCGCAGTTTATAGGGGAAGGTAAAGTATGGGGGCCGAGTCCTGACTGAGCCAACAACAACAAGAATAACCACCAGTATGGACAAGAAGGATGAAAGAGGAGTGTAAGCACCAGTGATCCTCTACCAACTGACGACAGAAGTCAAAAGTAAGAATTGAATATTGAAAAAAGGGGGAGTGCTATCCTTCCACAACGAAAGGAAGAAGATAGCAGAGGAAGAGAAGTGAATGAACGAGCTACAATGTCAATTGCAGCAGGAAGAGAACGAAACAAACGCAGTCTATAAGAGAGCAAAAAAGAGTTACAAAACAGAACGAAGAAAGTCGAGGACTTGGATATCACTCGAGAAAATCTCCAAGCCCTACTACTTACGCCCAGAAACTTCCAAGAACCCAAGAGTCGAGAACTGACGCATGGTGCTTAGGAAATGGGGCTCACTGGAGCGTGGCATTGTTCCAACTAAATGTGAGGTAGGCTGGTCTTAACCCGATATTGCAAGAGTTGGAGGACGAATCCACCGGGGAAGAGCCAAACATGGGCCAATCCGAGAGATTTGCCCCTGTTAGCAAAAGAGTATCAACGCATCAGCGCATCAGCGCATCAGCGTATCCATGGGTGCCAAAGCCGAGAAAGACTGATCAGCCTGACAGGCGCCTGGGGAGGGGCACTGGCGAATGGTCACCTCGCGGGCAGGACATTTCCGCCACTTCGTCCAGGCACCTGCGCACTGAAACCGCCAGCCGCTCGACTCCCGAGTCAGGATCCAATCAGCTGTTGTCAATCCTGAAACAACCTTGCCCCTCTTTGAACTTTGAAGCAGGCCCAGCGATTGAAGTGTTACAGATTTCTACTCTCTCTCTCTAGTCAATTCTCGACTAGTTAGTGGTAATGACCTTATGTCAATGGCACGGTCCAGCTGGCAGATGATGGGTTCTGCACAAACTGGATCCTATAGCTAGTGCTGCTATCTATTTCCTATTGCTAATATATCGGTAGACTCCGGCCTAGACTCGAGAACAGGGCAAGTTTCCATCGACCGGTCTATCCGACCTCAGGCCGCGTAGACAGACGCCTCCCGCGATCGCAAGTAGCCTAGCCCGTCATTCACCATGGATGACCGAGGCAGTCCCAAGATTTGGCCCGGAAAAAGGAAAAATGCAAAGAAAAGGGTAAAGAAAATAGGCTCGCAATTCAGGAAACACCGCCGGAACTACAGTGGGCTTGGCTGAATACCCCCGGGCGTTTAGCCACGACATCGCGATCGTTGGTCGGACAATGTATTAGAACAATCTCTCGGCAAAGATTCGGCACAGTTGAGATCCTCAGCAAGGGTCTCTCCTGATTGCCCGAGTTATGAAGGCTATTTTAAGGACGTTATTCCATGTGTCGACCTCGGGCAGTTGGTGAAGCGGGTCCAATTTGCTTCATAATTCCCAAGTCTCAAACAGAGCCAAGCGAGGCCAAGTCAACGGCGAAATTCGAGGGGTCAAAAGTGGTCAACTAAGTGTCAGTTCCAATATGCCAAGGGGCTCGGGGCAGAGAAGGGACTTGACAGGCATTTTAAATCCTCAATCAATCGGCATGATCAGCATTATTCAGACCCCATGTTGACTGAAGGGGCGAGGTGAGCATGAAGAGGATGATGGCTCATGTGAGCATTGCATCCTCTGGGCTCGTTTAAACTAATTCTACTTCGACCGGTCCGCCCCCAAAGCGATAGATCGCCCCCAAAATTCTAAGGCGAACTCCTGGGGAGCATAAAAAAAAGCAGAAGTTATACTTTGTTCGTAAACAAGAGATCAAGGTGCCTTCGAAATAATCTGGTATCAAGAATAACTGCATCTATGCCCAAACGCCCAGGAATGATAGCAAATCGTGTGAATCCCCTTACATGCTGTCCCAAATGCACCGCGCTGATAGACATGAAAGAAAAGAGACAGTACTTCTACTCGACCGTGTCCTCCGGCAGGACGTCGTCCGGCTCCTCCCCAATAAATTGCGCGACCGAACGCACGACCTGCTTGATGGCCTTTGAAGCTGGGCTGTCTGGGAAATTATCCACGAAGCTTTCACCGTAATCACAGGCCATGCCAACTCTAGGGTCGAGCGGTACAGCGCCCAGGAAAGGGATACCCATCTTCTTGGCAAGACGTTTTCCGCCCCCGGTGGTAGCTCGGAAAATTTGCGATTTTGTGTTGCAGTTTTGACAGACAAAGCCCGACATGTTCTCGACCAACCCCAGAATGCGGATTCCAGCCTTGCGACAGAAGTCGATTTCCTTCCGCACGTCCAGCAAAGAGACTTCCTGAGGGGTGGTGACCACCACCGCACCGTCGACACCAGAGTCTTTCAACAGCGAGTTGACGGACAAGTGCTCATCTGATGTTCCGGGCGGCGTATCGATGATCAAGTAGTCCATCTCACCCCAGTCCACATCCTTCAGGAACTGCTTGATGAGTCCATTCTTCTTGGGTCCTCTCCAAATCACCGCATCGTCCCGGTTGGGCAGCATAAATTGTACACTCATCGCAGCCAGATTATCCGTAACCCATACGGGGCTCCAGCCTGCGTTGCTCACATGGATGGTCTCCGCCTCAACGCCCATCATTTTGGGAATGGACGGCCCGCAGATGTCTGTGTCCATGACGCCGACGGTCGACTCGGGGTTCGCAGCAAACGCATGGGCGAGTAGGGAGGTGAATGTTGATTTACCCACGCCACCTTTGCCGGACAATACGAGGATCTTATGCCGTATCTGCGATAGCCGTTCGGTGATGATAGGAATGTCGGGATCGGGGCCCTTGGGAGCGGAGGCGCAGATCTGTTGATTCGGGCAGCCGGCACAAGCATCACCTTGACCAGCTTGTTCGGATTCAGGACCAGGGCAGTGCTCTATGAGCAGAGGAATAATCAGTGTCATGAATGTTGCACTCGGCGCAAAACAGAAACCAACCTGGTTCGGGAGCGACAAGATTCGGTGCCATCTTAGAAGGCGCTTCGAAGTAAGCCATTGTCGGCTCCTCGAGAGAAGGGGCCATTTTGGTGGCTGCTCTCCGACTATCCCTTCGTATTGATTTGAGTAATGAAAAGTGATCAGGAGGAATTGAACAAGGTATTGATTGACAGCTAGAAGTGGTGCTGAAGGAAAAGTGGCGGGGATCGATGACTGCGGGAAGTTGCTTGATAATCAGCACTTATCGGAGGGATGACAAACCTTCCCGTGGCGATTGGTGCGGGGCTGCCTTCAGATCCCAGCGGTGTCGGACTGAATGCAGTGATAAGATTGATACGAGAGGGGCACGTTGAACGATCTTGTATGAGTCTCTTTGTGCAGAAACCTATCTGTACGCAACTACTTTAGTGCTAGAGGTAGGAGGTAGTTCATGTCTTATGATTCAGGACGTGCTTGGGATAAATCTTCTCTGGCTGTAGCTTGAAGCTATGGCTATGCTACTGTGTCTCACAAATCTTTTGAGAGGCCAGATCATCGTCGTCCTAGAATGCGGGTTTAAATTCTTCTTATGAGTACTGTATTGCTAGTGGGCTTGTTGCTCCAACGAATCCTTACAAGCCTGCCATTCGATTTTGCGAAGATTGGATGAAGGATTGCATGTTTGCTGTATCGAGCTAGCCTCCTACATGTGATTCAAATAGGCCCAGTTCCTGAGATCCCTAGGATCAGATGAGGGGCATATCGACTGGGGTATCGACTAGGAATGCCATGTCAGAACCCTAACCCTCTCACGGGGACCAAGAGGCTATTATGATATCACAATCCTTGGGTACAGCACTGACGACTCCATAGTGCATGGACTTGGTTTGAAAACAAATGTGTTCAAGTAAGGAGCCCATTCTTGCATCTAGCCTCTGAAGCACAAGAAGACCCCAGACATATCTCGTCTCCATCGATTCTCATCTCAATTTGAGAGTGCTCGGGTCTCTACCAAAGCAAAGAAATCCTGTAAAGCTTGCATAACTAGGTACATTCTGCAGCTTCAGTGGATGGTGACACTAGGGCCTTTATCGAGGCTTAGCGAGAGGAGAAGTGTCCATTCAAGCACAGAGGATGAGAACACCGCTGTTACCGCCCACAAGAACTAATATATTAGACTCTGTGGTGCCGGATAATGCAATGCCACTATTCGGGGAGGTCAATGAATGACTGGACCCTTCTGTTATGCATCTAATTCCAGGCTTTCTCCCCCATTCCGACCCGCGCTTTCTTTGAATCCCACCCAGACCCTGATGAGGGTCATGATTGGTGTTAGACCAATGATTCCAGCCTGTCCGTCCCATCGATGCCTCCCTTTCCCCAGTGCATTAGGATCCACCTCAAGCCATAACCGAGGACAGGCCATGGGGGAATTGGGGAAGGAGGCATGGCTAGTGACTCTAGGTGCTATGTCTCACTCCCAACAGTTTTTTGGCGTTGTGATTTTAGATTAACCATAAATAGGCAGAACTGGCCGTTTTTTCACCCACTTCTTTGTTCATCTTGACTTCCTTCCCTGACAATCACTGCAGTTTTCAGAATTAATATTCGAAATTGCTGGAAGTGGCTGGTTGTTGGCTCGGATGAGGTCAGACCAATCATTGCCTTCCCGCCAGTTGATTTTCCCCCACTGTCACGGCCACTGTCACATGCTTCTGCTTCTTCTGTTCTTCCTTCTCCTTCCATTCATTCTCTTGTCTTTCCCACTGCATCTGCCGGCTACAATTCAACAAATCTCCTAAACTCATTTCAACAATGGATCGTGGCCTCTCAACAGGCTCTAACCTGGGTGAGACTGGGCTTCGCGAGAGGACTACAATGGCCTCTCAGTCCGACTCAATTGCCAACGCCGAGGCTCTCACTGCTACTGGCGAGGTCGAGGCTAAGGATGATGCACAGAAGGACAAGAAGACCTTCGGCCGCACCCCTGGTGGTACAGGTTCGTGGCACTTCCCCTACCTCCCATACCTCCCACCCCCAGTCTAGCTTGAAATGTCTTGATTATCTGCACCCACTAGCAGCAGACTGACCTCATTCGACGATGCGACAGTATTCACGGTGCCTCAAACACATGACATGGTCTCTCAACTCCTGTCTCCATCTGAGCCTAAGAACCTTTCCGATATCATTGTTCTATTTATTTTGGGTGCCCATATTCTCTTATTATGGCAACTCCCCCAGGGTGCAAAAGTCCCAGTGTTTGCCGCCGTCTATCTCTTTTGGCGGGCGGCATACAACATTGGGATCGGATGGCTTCTGCACAATCAATCCCACCACAACACACTTGTTCGCTGGGCGGAGCAGACCAAGATCTTTGTGAACCCATCCACAAACCAGAATCCCCATCCTAACCTGTATAAACTAATCAAGCGCGAACTGGAGACCAAGGTCCCTGTCGATTATTCTTTTGACGAGGCCCCCCTCGAGTACAACACTTGGCTCGTCTTTCGTCGCCTCGTCGATCTTATTCTCATGTGTGATTTCACATCATACTGTCTTTTTGCCATAGCATGTAGCCATCACCCCGTTGATGAGGGCGTGCTGATGACTATTGTGCGCTGGTCGTCTGGTGTTGCTTTGGTGCTGTTCAACCTTTGGGTTAAACTCGATGCTCATCGCGTGGTGAAAGATTTTGCATGGTATTGGGGAGACTTTTTCTTTCTCATTGACCAAGAGTTGACGTTCGACGGTGTTTTCGAGATGGCTCCTCATCCGATGTACTCGGTCGGCTACGCCGGATACTACGGCATCTCGCTAATGGCAGCAAGCTACAAAGTGCTGTTCATTTCCATTCTCGCCCATGCAGCACAATTTGCCTTCTTGGTCTTCGTCGAGAATCCGCATATCGACAAGACGTACAATCCACCTCCTCCGCGCAAGCGTGTGACGGAGCAAGATTCTGTATCCACATCTTCTCAGGCCAGCGAGCCTCCTTCGTCACCGGTTGATGAACAACTGCCCCACGCGACAAACCACCCAACAAGCAACCCTCCTCCATCGGTCCACAATCTGCTAGGGTTCCACAACCTGGACCTGCATCGGATAACAGATAGTTCTTCCTTGCTGGTTCAATTCCTCGTATTCGCCCTGACTGTCTTGACGCCATCTACACCTCGCTATCAATTCATCTTCGTGGCCAATGCAGCAATCTGGAGACTGTGGTTCTCCATCGGTATCGGATACCTCCTCATTCGTCAATCAAACTGTAAATCGTGGACTCGGCACTTTGTCAAGTATGGCGAGACCCCTCATGAAGCCTGGAATCAGTGGAAGGGCACGTACCATTTGAGTATGATCATGTGCTACGCGAGCTTTATCGCTGCTGCTTGGAAGATGTACACGTTTCCTGCTGACTGGGGCTATGGCCTGGTCTTGCTCCGGCATGTTCTGGGTGTAGGGCTTATTTGCCTGCAGACATGGACATCGGTCAGCATCTACGAATCTCTGGGCGAGTTCGGCTGGTTCTACGGTGATTTCTTCTTCCAGGGATCTCACAAATTGACGTACAATGGTATCTATCGCTTCCTGAACAATCCCGAACGTGTTTTGGGTCTGGCAGGCGTTTGGGGTGCTGTCCTGATCACAAGTAGCGGAGCGGTCATCTTCCTCGCATTAATAAGTCACGTTCTAAGCATGGCTTTCATCCAATTTGTGGAGCGTCCGCATATGCAGAAGCTCTATGGCCAAAGCCTGCGACAAGATGCGGGGCTTGTCAAGAGCCTCAAACGATCCCTGCCCCCTTCGCTCCGCCAACTGCATGGTAGCGTTGATAAGATTGTGGACGAATCATTTGAGTTCATTGAAGAACTAATCGATACGGCGCGCCCTAAGCTTGCCGCTGGCGTCAACACGTTTGTGAAGGACACCACTGCCCTGTTCCAGACATATCCTGCTCGTGTTACCATCTCCCGCATTGACGAAGATCTGGCTGGATATGATTCGCGGGACTACTCCTTGGTGATTGAGGGCACCGAATCTTCCTCGGTTGACAAGATTGACCTGCGTAGCGACACAGAAGATTCAAGACATTCGGTCTTTGAGTACGGCGCACCGATCAAGGTCCGGTGGACGGCGCCTTTAAATCACAGCAAGAAAGATTGGATTGGTCTCTACCGCGTCACCGACAATATTTCAAGAGAGATCACGCGGGTTTCGTCTCAAGGCAGATGGATCGCCACAAATGCCGGTGTCTACGACAACCAAACATGTGAAAAAGGCATCGTGACCAGTGATGTGAAAGTATCGGCCTCGCAGCGCCCAGATGGAGAGACAGACGATATCTTTACCGGGGAGGTTGTCTTCACTGGCGACAAGCTCTTCTGGACCCAGGGAGCCTTTGAGTTCCGCTATCACCACAACGGCAAGCACAATGTCATGGCGATCTCCCGTCCCTTCGAGATCCGTACCGCACGGTTTGACGAGGAGGAATTCGTGGAGAGTAATCAGGACGATCTCCAAGCATCCGTTGAGCTGAAGTTATTGCCTGTGATCCGCAACTGCTTGGACCAGGATCCCGAGATAGCACCCGAGACAGTGGAAGAACACTTTGGCAGCCAAGTGGAACGAAACGGCAAGTATGCCAAAAGAGTTGTATTCGCCGTACACCAAATGTGAGTATCTCACCAGTATTGTTTGTTGTTGCACAATTAACACGGCTCTTCCAGGTTTGGGGTGGAATTTGCACCCGAGGTCGTTCGAGCTGATGGAACAGTCCGCAATCTTGCGTGGAGGATTTGCAATGCAAAGCGAGTTTTGGTAAGTATTTCCTTCGAGTCACAGCCTATTCGGAGACCAGAGGAGAGAGCCTGACATGCAAATCAATGCAGGCTCCCTACAGCATGACGAGCAACGGCACCTCTACTCCAAGTGAAAGACTAGAGAAGGCGGAGATCGTGGCATGATATCGTTTCAGCGCACAGCATTTCGTATATATCCTCGATCCATCCTGCCGGTATTCTCTCCTGAACGACTGGCAATTATTGCAATTGCGCATGTCAACTCACACCCTTCAACAACACATGAAAAATGAGAAGGGCAGGCAAGTACGCAGCGTCGCACCAAAATCAGCAAGCTTATATTCTGTCATGGTCAAAGCGAGTTCTTCTGCAGGACTACGCTTATCCTCGGCTGACTAGTTCTACATGTACATATGCTTTAAGCTATACATACGTATCATGGAATGATGTTTTTCGCAAAGTCTTCTTTTCATTTTCATATTATAGAATGACGAGGTCGATAGAAGAATGGGCACGAAGGGCAGAAGGGGAAAGGGGAAAGGGAAAAAGGGGGAAGATCGTCGAATGTCCATCAGGCATTGGTGAAATTTTGTCTCATGGCCGTGAAGGCTCTGAAGTAGCAAATACGTAGATATGCAAACATCTTCTGAACGACGACGATCAAGTGAGTGGTGGCAGGGAGGGGGAAAGGAAGCAAGACCAGTCGATGAACTTGCAAAGCAAGACATTGAACTGAAAGGGCCAAGACAGTGAGCAAATCATGCAGAAATCAACAGGAGCTGATCATATTCCATGCTATCTACGCCAAGCACTATCCGACACACACCACTCAAGAGCATCGAGACTTGTTCAAGAATCGAATCGGTCTGCAACCAGACATTGTCAGCACAACCGCTATGAATACCCAGCAGATGATGTCTACATCACAAAAAGAAAGAAGTAGAATAGTAATCAGCCAAGCCGGTAAATTCATCCCTTCCCCTGCCAACCCCGACCCCCCAACTCGCCGTCCAAAACGAACTTCGAGCCAGAAGGAAGGCATTGGCACAAGTCAAGCGTAGCGAAACCAAACCCATGAAGGATCCCACAAGCCCACAGGAGGTGAAATGTACAAAGGAAAAACAAATGACGAGAATCCACACTCTCGAGAGCTCCACAACCTTCCTCCCTGATGAGAGAATGATCCGAAGATCAATCTCCTAAAAGGTCCAGTATAAGGGAGATGAGAAGACGTGGCATCAGTTTGTCCACCTATGATGTACATTTGCTCGATGCAGGGTGTTGTAGGTGTTATCAGGAAGAGACCTCGCGCGGCTCGAGGGGCGGTTCTCCACGAGGGGAGATCATTGAATGGATTGACTTGTTGTCATCATAGACATGGTGTTGTGGGCTGTGGATGTATGGGTATGGGAGAAGACGAGTCTTACCTTCTATGGCTGGTGTGATAATGTCGTGTCGGGTGTTATTGCTACAGTACCTAGAAAGTCTTTGCAGCTGTTAGCATGCTGTTTTGTTGTCTTCATGGGTGAAGCAATGTTTAGGATGATTGGTATCAGGAGTTTTTGGTAAGGTATTTGGTTATCTTCAAAAATTTTGCAGAAGCAGAACTGAAAATAAATTTTTCTCATCATGAAAAGGCAGATCGAGTGGTGAAACTCGATGCGCGTGGGCAAAGATGGGTTCGAAGTAAAAAAAAGCGGACATACCAATTCATCTACAATCGCTTTCGATGTTCCACACTCCTCATGACATGAATGAGGTTGTGCGATCCTAACCTTAATGAACATTAGCAAATTGTCCACTGCAGTACAATGACTGAGCATGAAGCAAGAATTTGAGATTGAGGTCAGATGGTGATGCATGTTTGTTCGAGGCCCATGTTTAGGTCGCCAGAACTTCGATTTTTTGGATCGCTTTCATCATGCAAGTGATGCTTGGTTGAGTGGTGGAATAAGATATACTCACATTTTACAGGTTAGTGGCCAGTATGGTGTTCGAAAGATGACGCATCATGCTTTGCTTCGCATCTGAAGAGCTTGAGCTGTCGAAATCACAACAATCATTGTGTTGTGGGGAAGAGAGAAGGAAGAGAAGGAGAAAGAAAGCGCGAAGCGAAAAGCCGAAGAAAAACCCACGAGGGGAAAAAAAAGGCGCCGAGCTTCCGCGATCCCACCCATGCAAACCATGCAAACCCTTCTCAAAAATGGATGTAGCTTTGCGGGCAGTTCGACCGCCAGCTATCGGATCGCTTTATCAACCCCCATCATTATTATATGCCCCTCCCTCCGCTGCTTTTCCTCCGATCACTTGTTGTAATTGATCGCAGGGATGCAAAGACATGTGTAATGACTGACAGACGAAGAATTAATGGGCCGCCTAGCGGCACGAGGCCTGCGGTTTTCGCCTCCTCTCTCAAATCCGCCTCCGGCGCCGCCACAGAAAGACCTCGCCGTCATAGACAACCAAATGAGTTGCGCAAGATCTGTAAGAGCTTCCTCTCTTCCCACGAGTTCGCGAACAGGAAGCTAATCTGTCGACTAGTCCTCAAGACGGGATTGATCCCTTCGGCTTCCGGCTCCGCATACCTTGAATACGAACCATCTGCCTCCCTCGCTGCAGCTCGGTCCTCTCCTCAGTCCCTGATCCCTCCTTCCTCGGCCTTGAAGCTTGCATGCACCGTTCATGGACCGAAGCCTCTTCCCCGGTCGGCGACCTTCTCGCCAAACCTCGTTCTTACTACCCACGTCAAATATGCGCCATTCGCCGCCCGTCAACGGAAGGGTCACATTCGGGATGCCAGCGAACGTGACCTGGGCGTTCACCTCGAGACTGCGCTCCGAGGCGTGATTGTTGCGGAACGGTGGCCGAAGAGTGGCCTGGACATTACAATTACAATCCTCGAGGCCGAAGATGACCGGTGGTGGGGGGATGCACCAGACTCGCACGATGCGCCGTGGGGCATGATGAATGTCCTGGCCGGGTGTATCACCGCGGCATCCGCAGCCATTGCGGACGCTCGGATTGACTGCCTGGACCTCGTGGCTGGAGGCGTGGCTGCTATCGTCTCGGACGACGCGGCTGCCGAAGAAGGGAACTCATCGACGCCGAAGTTGATGCTGGATACGGATCCGGCCGAGCACAAGTCCATCCTGTCGGCGTGCGTGGTCGCTTACATGCCTGCGCGAGACGAGATCACTGAGATCTGGCTCAAGGGCGACCACTCCAAGGCTTCTTTGGGGGTGGATGACAGCAGTTTGGGCCATGAAGCTTTGATCGACGGTGCGGTCAACGCAGCGCGCGGAGCGCATACGGTTCTTGTGGAAGCAGTCCGGGAGTCGGCTGAGCGGTACGCTGGATTGTCGAACAGCGACTCATAATTCATAATGAGGAGTCAGGAGCGTTAATGAAATACAAGAAAAAGTAACGCCTTGCTATTTGCCCTTGATACGATATATCCTTTCTAGTTTCCCCGCCTAGCATGAAATGCATACGCTTTCAGTCGCTGTTTGCTTCCCTTTAGGTATCAATAGAAATAATCCATCGTGTAGACCACCTGCATCTTGCCGTTCGTTAGATGCCTGGGCCAACAATATCACTTCCTCTGGATTCACAAGCTACTGCCTCAGCGCATAAACACAGACACAGTGAATTTATTTGAAGAAAGCCCACACCTTCCTCTACCTTCACACCCAGCCTTCTTATAAACGCTCAATTTTCCATCAACCAGACGTGTCCGTCTTTGCCTACTTCAATTCCTTCTCCGCGCCTCATCATCTTAGCAACCAACCGCACCTCTCTCCATCTCCAAATCACCTACACACCACGAATCGACTCCGCCCCATCTCCTTGACCCCGATCATACACTACATACGCTTCGAAAACTCGTTGAACAAGACCATGCCCGACCTCAAACGCACCCATGAGGCCGACGTCCTCCTCCTCTACGTGATACTGTTGAATGCAGATTCTAGGACCGTGAGTATTATTCTCACCTCGCCTCACTTCCCATCAATAACCGTTTCTCATCCTATAACCTCCCGTCTGCCAACGCCTTGATCGATCTAAGCTACCGCGCGTATCAGAGCACGCGAATTACTGCATATTCCCTCATCCTCTCCAAGTCCCTCACTCTCTCCCCCCCTCACTGGCACGGCAAGACTATCTCTTACGAGATGCTAACAAATACTCTCAAACCATAGATCAACTGGCCCGCCGTCGCCGAAGCAACCGGTATAACCCAGTCCGCCGCCCGGCTGAAATGGTACCGCCTGAAGCAGGAGCTCGACCAGAAGATCGAGGCGGGTGGGTTTGGTTATAGGGACATGCGGGTTGCCGAGGCTCAGAGTGGTGGTGAAGGCGATAAGAGTGCAGAGGGATCCTTGAAGAAGGTTGTCAGTGCTGCGGCTACCGCTACCGCTACCGCTGCCGAAGAAGACGAACCTCGCTCTGATGGAAAGCCAAAGGGACAACAACAGTCACGGCTGAAGAGAGAGAGAAAGAAGAAGTCCGCAAAGATTGTTCAAGAGGAGGGGTCGGTCTTGTTTTCGGATTCGTCCTCTGCGGGATCTGATGGGGACGTTGACGAGGATGATTGGGTTGATGGCACCCGTGGTGGTCGGAGGAAGAGTTTTGTGTTTTATGCTGGGGGTCGAGGGGACAAGTTGGGAGAGATCAAGAGTGGTGGTGATGATGATGTTTCTGAGAGCAAGCAGCGAGAGTTGAAGGTGATGGGGTCTCAGGAGAGGGTGTCGTGTTGGTCATCGGATTCGTCGCTGGTGAAGGTCGGGATATCGGGTGGTGGGTCGCAGGGGGAGGCTTGTGCTATCTACTCGGACGAGGATCATGGGGGTAATATGCTGGTCAAGGGGGCTGAAAAGGCTGGAGATTCTGCTGCTACTCGAGAGAATGGCATTGATCAGGTGAAGGAGGGGGCTGTGGAGTGAGATGCTTCTCTTTTACTTGGCAGTTGATATGCATTCAGCCCTACCGTGTGACAGTTTCTGTGGGCAACACACTGAGCTCATATGGTTGAGCATTCGTCATTGAGTTAGAGAATGGACAGCGAGACAGCTCGATCAACCCCCAGGGTTTGAAGGTTGCCATGCTCTGTCACTGGATCGTTAGGTTTACATAAGGATAAAGAACAGGTGCTGATCAAAGATTTTCACCAGCAGCATGTCGTATCGCAGCGCTCAAGCCCTCAGGCTGACTGTAAAAAGGACTATGAGACGCGTCAACAGTCTCTGTCTTAGAAGCATAGCTTTTTGCCGTCTCTTCGACCATCATCATCTGCACCGTTTTCGGGATAGCCGCATCTCGAAGACAATATAGATAGGTAGTGGGGACATGCTTCCACGCCGCATAGGTGCGGGGACTGTGGAAAGTCTGATAGCTGTGGCGTCTCAGAGCCGCTACAGCGCTTGTAGTCCGTTACTCATCACAGTCATTGTGGAATACTTGGTTCGGAGTTGCTGGACGGACCTCGAGTCGGTCCCTTGACAGCATGAACCAAGGGAGATCATCCCCGCCGAAAGCGCTGATTAGGGACTGTCCCCCGGCGATGACACACGAGCAGCAGAAGAACAGACGAGAGATACTTCTTTTCAGTCTTATCTCTTAGTGGAGATAATTCCTTGTGGGGTTGACGAAGGTGAGCGAACCTTTGCCATGGTATGCATTGTCACCCCAAATTACCTTGGAAAAGAGTAATAAGTTGGTTTTGATGTGATCTGCACTTACTTGTTATCTCAAACTCCAGGAATTGAGGGACTCGATGTCGAGGCCGGCCATTATCATCTTAAATGTCAAACACTCAGCGTGTGATCGAAGCAGGCTCTCTTCCTACGCTAGGCCGTACTTAATGCCGCTTCTTGGTGAGTGAGCACACAAGTGCGCGCCCTGAGCGATCCTATAGATGATGACTTCTATAAACACTTCCAGTACTGAATCGGCTACCAGAATTGATTCAAGTGTTAGAATAGCTATGCGATCCATGTTTACCCTAGGAAGTCGCGTACGAGCCACCTCAATTGAGTAACTCATCGTGAGAGTTGCCACGAGCTTCTCGCCGCTTCATAATCCGCAACTGTGAAAAACCTGCCCCGTGTGAAAGTGTCAAGCAAGACCCGCGACTTGCCATCCTTCTTCCCCTTGGCCAGAAAATAATCACAACTTATGCCGGCGGTCCTTATTCTTACGCGATCTTGAGGCGTCGGATGATGGTTGCAGAAAATGCCTTCTGGCATGGGAACTAGGACCTTAGATCGTTGAACAACCGAGAAGGGGTACTGGAATTCGAACAAGGGTAGTTCTAGAAGAATCTCTTCTCCTTCCCCAGAGAATGATAGGATAATAGCGCTGGAATCGATCGGGCCGCGCACGAGATATTCCTCCTCATTCCAAGGACGCTGTTTCAGATTGAATAGGCGTATCAGGCCGGTAGCCTTGTATATCTCGGTCGCTTGCGGAAGGAGCGGGGTGAAGATGACATGAACGCATAAGTTGCTAACACCGGATTTTTTCCACGTTTTGATTCGCGATGATAGCTGAGCCCAGGTCGTGCATGACGAAAACTGTGTTGCAAAGCGCGAGCTTTTCTTCAGATGGCGGGCTATTTCTCCTGATGTGATGTTCCGCTGACCGCAATACCGAGGCCACATAGTACCGTTTGCATCAGGTCTGGGAGTTGGGCCAACCTTTCCATCGTCAGTACCATCATGCGTCACTCGAAAGAGACAGAGGGGCAGGTGCTGTCTGTCCTGATCCGTGTGGGAGATTGCACAGGCGTCGCCACACAACCGAGTCACGGAATCCATCAAGCGGACCATAGCAATAATGCTGATACTGCAAATGGTTGAGTTCTGAGTTGGCTTTCTCCCGCTTTTTCACAGGGCAATGGAAACTGGCAGCAGGGTTTAAAACACGTGAACGCTATCTTCCTTCTGTCATAGTGCCACGAGCACCTGCAGATGGGGATTAGTAGGACTCATACTCTTGAGTTGCAAGAGTCCTACATACTGTAGTCGATACCGGCAGGCTTAATGAACAGTGCTTTCAAAAACTGTTTATCCGGTGCTCATTGATCTATTGGTATTGAACCAAGGAAGAGGTCGAACATCTGCGCTAATTGTGTACTCAGTTGCAGGAACACATTCTTCTATTTTATAATGCAATGCACAAACGAGCCACACACTTCTTTGCAGTGTTCAACATGACGCTCCTCAGAAGATTCCTTTTCTCCAGCAACAAGGAGCCCAGGAGGACTAGGAATCTTGATGCCACGGGTGATAAACAATATAGTGGTCTGTTTGGGGATACAAAGAAATATTCAGGTCGATGAGAGTGTTTCTTGTCAGTGCATGTATATATTTGGTCAAGATACTATGTAGTGTATATCGCTAGCAGTCGTTAAGGAATCATGCCATAGAAGGCTCGTGCGCGGCATGCCTGCTCAATATGTCAACAGAGGAGGAGGAGGAGGAGGAGGAGTAGGATTCTTAGTAGTGGTGGAGAGGAGGACTCATGCTTTTTACATTTCCGGGGCTGGATCTCTTTACTTGATAAGGTAATTCTTTTCGAAGACCTAAGACAAGTTGCTCGGGTGCGCGGAGCTCTGCGGGGAAGCTTATCGGGGGTGGAGCCGTCATACAGTTTCACTTAACTTACGTGCTGGACCTTGTTTTATATTCGGGATACAAAAGAGGCTTTCACCCACACCCTGTGACTTTATCTAAAAAGCATTGCCCGGACAATTTCAGAGTCTCGTTGAGCAAGTTTCCTCACAAGTGAGACTTACAGCTGGTTGTGTGCGTGATTCTCGGCTCCTCTGCGCCTTTTTGCCGCAATGCCACGCCATCGCTACCCCGCATACGCAATTCGTTGTGCGAAGAGATGACAGACGGTGTGATCAAAATGGCCGGTTATGGGACGAACACCTGAGAGGCGAGAAAGACTACTTATCCGGAAGCACGCCATGATATCCATGATGGCTGCGCGCGATAGTCTCCCTGGAGCCCTATAGGTGCTCACCGACGGAGATAAGCAGCCACCAATTTAATCTATTAATAGCGTGATCCAGTACCCCGCGATGAACCTCAACCTCGCGGTGAATCTGTTTCCCTGTTCTGATCTCTGTTCCTGGGTCATCTCCATCGCCACGCCAGCCCACCGTCCAAGCTGCATAGTTATCGTTCAGAGAATGGGCGAGTTCATCGTTTCTCCCTCGACGGAGATAGCACAATTTCTCCAAGCCGGAACGCGCCTGGTTGAGAACTTGTATGCAATTCATGATCTCGATGATGATGCGGAGTTCACAGACTCCTGGGATGCAGATGCTGTCGCAGCTGAGTTCGGTGCATTGGGCGATAGGATTTCCCGGGTCTCTGTGGCAAATGCAGAATCATTGACACAACCGGACCGATCCAAGAATGTTCGCGATGCATGTGAGGTCATCACCAAGAATATTCTTTGTCGCCTCGATATTCTGGAACAGCTCCATGAACACAAGCTTCCCCATATTGCGAGAAACTTCAGAGAACTATGGCCGCGGGAAGATGTCGATACGTTGGAGGAACACCTCAAGTCTATCATTGCCACAATTGAGTCTGAGGCGGAGTATCTACCCAGGTGAGAATGCCCTCAAACACTTGTGGGCTGTCCGCATACTGAGACACGGATAGTAGTCAGTCAAACAAACTCGTTGCGACCCGTGAAGCACTCGATGTGCTCGACATCACCAAGGATCATCGCGACCAGGACCCGCCGGACACACAGCACGAAGACAGGAAGCTATCAGCTAGAAAGAAGGCGATGTCGCTCTTTGGCAAGAAGCCCGGGCAAAAGAAGAGCATTCCCGAGGATGAAAAGACATATACCAAAGAGACCCTATTCTCCGACCAGGAAATGATCCTTCAGGACTTTCTGCTCGAAAGCCTGAAGTTCGGTTCCATGACTGATCGAGAAGACAGTGTTGCTGTCGCTCACGACGGCACCTTCGACTGGATCTTAGCTGCCGATGGCTCAGAAAGTCACCACAGCTTTAGTGTGCAGGAGTCGCTGGTGAATTGGCTGTCTAGTGGGAACAACGACGGCATCTTCTGGGTCAGCGGCAAGCCCGGGTCTGGAAAGTCAACATTGATGCGCTTCTTGATGTCCCATCCTACCACGAGGACAGTTCTGGCGACATGGGCCGGGGAGGAGCCACTCATCACAGCGGGGTTCTATTTCTGGATCAGTGGCACCCTGGAGCAGAGGTCCCAGACGGGGCTAATGCGTCATCTGCTGGTCCAGCTGCTGGATCAGGAGTCTCATCTTGTCCCGGTCGTGTTTCCGGCGCGGTGGAAGCATCTCAGGCGCTTGACTACGCGAGAACGGATTAAGGCGACGGTCGCCTGGGACTTGAAGGAGTTGAAGGACGCATTGCGGTGGTTCATGCAGCACACAGCCGGTGAAGCCAAAGTTTGTCTGTTCATCGATGGCTTGGATGAGTTCGCAGGCAATCACGAGGATGTGATCTCGTTTCTGCAGGAGCTCGTGTCCTCGTTCACCCACCTCAAGCTCTGCCTGTCCAGTCGGCCGCTGCCGGTATTCCGTGAAGCCTTCGGAAAGAACCCTAAGCTGGAACTCCACGACTGCACGCGCCAGGATATGCTGGATTACTCGCGAGACCATCTATCTGCCGATCGGGAGATCCAGTCCCTCTTCAGCAAGGATCCCGAGAAGGCATCACAGCTCATTCTTGACATCGTGGATCGGGCGGATGGTGTCTTTCTCTGGGCAGCACTGGCGGTCCAATCCTTGCTACGGCGAAGTCATCTCGACTTCCCCCAGCTCCATGAATCCCTGCTCCAACACCCAACCAATATAGACGACCTCTTCACATATTTCATCTTCGAGCAAGCGACCACCAACCAAACCACCACCATCTCCCGCATCTTCCAGCTCCTCAACGCCCGCGAAGACGCCTGCAACGCCACCGGTCAAGAAGAAGCCATCACCATGCAACTATGGGAGCTCGCCCTCGCCGACCAAGTCGAAGCCTCCGAGCTCAGCATCCCCGAAGACGTACAACAGGCCAGCGACGACCAAATCGAACAAATCTGCTCCCTCACAACCAGCCGATTCACCAACGAATGTGCAGGCCTGATCGTAACGCACCGGCCCAACCCCTCAACCATCCGCGTCCACCACGCCACCACCCCATCCCCAGCTCAGCTCCTCGCCCAGCGCAAGGTCACATACGTCCACCGCACAGTGAAAGACTACCTTTCCCAACCCGAGATCTGGGCCCGCCTCACCCACCCGCTGAAAGACACTTTCGACGCGCACCACTCCCTCCTGACCTCCCACATCCTCCAACTCAAACACCCGCTCGACCCCTTCATCCGCCACCGCCAGATCGACGAATGGTGGCCCGCCATCCCCCTTGCCTTCACGCACGCCCGCCTCTCCCCCTCCCCCGAGCCAGAACTGCTCCTCATCCCCGCCTTCGACACTGCCCTATGCCAGCACTGGTCCTTCCGCGCCACCGCGGAGACCGACCACTGGGCCAAATCGCTCTTCTCGACGTACGAGATGCGCAAGCGGGCGGCCTTCGAACACCCATTCCTCGCCCTCGCGGCGAAGTTCGGGCTGGCGCGGTTGATCCGTCAACAAATCCGCGATGGGACGCTCCGGGCTCTACCCGCAGCAGCCCAAGTACCCGTACCTCCGCCAAAGAATCCCGCAAGGGAGCATCCCCCGCCAGACGAAGACAAGCGTGATACCGACGACGAAGAGCCGGAGCGCAGCCCAACACCAAAAAGGGTAATCCCCCTCCTCCCCCACACGACACATCTCCTCGCCCACCGCCGCCACACCGTCTACCCGCTGTCCAGCCCCCAGATCATCCGCGACTTGCTCGAGGCGGGCATCGACCCGAACCAGCCGTACATCAACCTCCAGGGCAGAGCGCGCACGCCCTGGGTCGATGTGCTGGAGGGCCTGCGCGAGGCGGAGCGTCGTCGGTGGCTGCGATACTACGATGTAGACCCGCAGGGGATCGGCCGGGTGGCGGAGATCGTGCGGCTGTTTGTGGAGTTCGGGGCGGATGTGAATGCGGTGGTGCCGGCGGACCGGTGGGATCCCGAGGCTAGTGCGGTGGACGTGGTGGGGAGTGTATGGAGGGGGCTGGCGGCTTGGGAGTTTGGGGCGCTCAGGGGGATGTTGCTGGGGAGGGGTGGGGTGGGCGTTAGGGAGCGGGTGGAGGGGGTGTTTTTTCGGGTTTTTGGGGGGTAGGACCTTCCTTTTTACGGGACATAAGGTAGGAATGGAGCGGGGGGTGGTTTAGGTTGGATTGGAGGAGTGGGTTGGCATTGGAAATTCGCAAGAGTTTATTTTCTTGGATTTATTGTAAGCCAGAAGATGGCGAGCGGTATCATGGAGGTGGAAGATAATTGAAGGAGGGGTCGCAGAAAGTTCAAGAATGGTTGATAACAGGCTGAAGAGAGATTAAATGGAGATGGGAGGATTCCAAGAGAAGAGAGAAGAAAGAAGAAAGCCAGTACAAACGACGTATAAAGCAGTAGGGGCAAAGCGAGGGATTAGCGATTTCTCGGGTAGAGCCTGTGGATAGGCAGACCGTGGTGGCGCCATCTATATCCCTCAGATTATAAAGACCAAGGCGATCCTGATAGAGCACCCGATACAGAGCCCTATACACAAGACAACTTCATCTGAGCAGAGGCTTGGTCTTCGGAGGCGACAGACGCTCATCAGGCACATAACACTCGCGAAACTGGATACAGCAAGCGCACTCCAGAGTGCAGTGGCCGTAGACGGGGCTCGTTCGATCCTTCTTGGCTTCTATGGCATAAAGCCCCCTCTGACAACACCCGCACGACCGTGCGCAGCAGCCCCCTGCATTGGCACATTCCTGTTGCGAGTCCACGAATTCGTACGGCTGGCCATACTGATTCTTATATTCATGGCCGACCAGAAACAGTTCCATGCGTGGACTTGTCGGATGTGGACGCTGTCGGTACTCGTCCTGCAACCGAAGTTGATGCTTCCAGTAGTCTCTGCGAAGCTCGATCACTTCTGCTTTCAGGTGAGGATGTTCCTGCACCGCCGGCTTACTGTAAGCCGGTGGTGGCGGCGTGCTGTCGTTCACTTTGGTGAGAGTTTCCCCGTGCCGGCGGAGCCTTTCTGAGGCGAGAGACCCGAGCAACTGCAGACGATGTAGGTGCTGGAGGATGAGGATGCCCAGTGCTACCCCTTTGGTGTATTGTTCGGCCCATTCCTCGACCTCTTTTTATTCACAGGTTTTATAAGCGGTGTCAGTGGGAACCAGTCGACGACACCGGTTCCTCGCGTAGTTGTACTTTTCCCTGCATTCTTCCTCCCTGGACACGGACTCGGGCTTGTCCACTGGCTTGGACCTGTCCGCTGCTTTGGTCTTTGACCCCTTCCGAGACCAGAATGGCATGGTGAATTGGGTAGAGGTGTCAGTAGGCTGATCGCGTAGCGTGCTGGATGTAAGCAGAGTGCATGAGGATACGCAGTATGAGTAACAAGTCTCTGATTGAGAAAATATTTGTCGGCATCGTGCCGCATGACGATGGCCTGGCTCATGGTATGATGCGATATTGGGTCATTGCGGTGGTCCAAGCCGTACATGTTGTTTCGAGTGTGTATTGATGAGGGAAGAGAGTCATCATGGTTCTACCGATATGTGAGTCAACCGGCTCATTACCGCTTCCATATATCCGGACTTATGGTCAAGGTCAATGGTAATGGTAAGTGCTACAGAGGCCATCATACCAGGAGATGGCAGAATGCATAACACCAGATCTCACCGCTTTCTACTTTGAGCTGGCTTCAAAAGATATTAAGTTAACGTCGTGCAGACGCTGGGAACTGGAAACTGTTCTAAACGCTGGGCGTTGGAAGGTCTAGGCGGTGGCAGAAAGAGAGCGGTAGCAGAAAGAACTCAACACCGCCAGGCGGGTCTCACCGCTTCCTGCTTTGAGCGTGCTTCCAAAGAGACCACCATCCTACACATCCGTTGACCTGAAAACTGTACTAAACGCTGGTTGGAAGGCTCAGCTGTGGCAGAGAGACTTATCACCGCCCGACAGGTCTCACCGCTTCCTGCTTCGAGTGGTTCTATCTTTCAGCCTGGAGTACGCCATACCTACGTAGTGCCTTATTGCCTGAAATACACACGGCTAAATGCGAGTGATGTGCCTGACTTTCCCGCCCGACGGCTAAGGCAACCAGGGTCAATGGAGTAACTCAACTAACCAACCAGCGCCGCTTACGTACGAACCGCGGCTGGTCGTCATTCCGAAGCTCCCCTGCTTGCTTGCTTGCCTGCTTGCTTGCTCGGTGCCTCCGCACCTTATTTACAACTCATCCTCCCCCCATCGCCCCATCACCCTCTCGATTCCTCATCCCTCTTTGCATCAGTTTTATTCAGTATTCTTCTTATGCCATCACATTCTCACCCCCCTTCGTCCGACTAGCTACAGCTTATCTCCCCTCAGGAGCAATGCGGGGATACCGCTTGATCCCCATCCTCGCGGGTCTTGGCGCTCTCCTACCCCAGACTCAGGCCCAGGACAGCTCCGGCTACACCGATATCCACGAGCCCGGCCGCTGCGCCCTTCGCGGGCATTGCGGCAAGAAATCATTCTTTGGTGGAGAGCTCCCTTGTCCCGACAATGGGCGTGCCAAACAGCCCGAAGCGGCGGTGAGGAAGAAGCTGGTCGACCTGTGCGGTAGCAAGTGGCGGGATGGGCCCGTGTGTTGTGAGGATGAACAGGTATGTCATGCCACCCCATTTTGCCCAGGAATATCTCTGATGACCCGTACCGTTAGATCGATGCGCTTTCGAAGAACCTCAAACTCGCCGAAGGAATCATCGCCTCATGTCCCGCCTGCAAGGAGAACTTCTTTAACATCTTCTGTACTTTTACCTGCTCGCCCGACCAGTCTCTCTTCGTCAATGTCACGCAGATCGAGCAGAATGGCTCGGGCAAGAAGTTGGTCACGGAAATTGACAATGTCTGGTCGGAGGAATACCAGAGTGGCTTCTACGACAGCTGCAAGAACGTGAAGAATGGCGCCTCAGGTGGCAAGGCCATTGACTTCATCGGAGGAGGCGCCAAGGACTATCCCCATTTCATGAAGTTTCTGGGAGACAAGAAGCTGCTGGGAAGCCCCTTCCAGATCAACTTCAAGACGGAACCTGCAGGTTCGGACCCGCAGGGCATGGAAGCCTTGCCGATCAAGCCCAAAGCATGCAATGACCCCGACGAGGCCTTCCGCTGCTCCTGCGTCGATTGCCCGGATGTCTGTCCGGAACTGCCGGCTGTCAAGACAGATCGATACTGTCACGTCGGCCTGCTCCCATGCTTGTCCTTTGCAGTAATCCTCATTTACTCGGTCTTCCTATTGACCGTCGTGGCCGCATCGAGCTACTTCACCTATCGGGATCGGCGGTACCATAAGCCTGAGCGGGCTAGGCTTCTGCAGGATCCTGCCCCTAGCGATGATGAGGACGAAGGCGATATTGTGCGAGCAGGCGGTTACATTGAACAGCCTAACGGTGTCTACAAGCTCAACTCCGCCCTGGACCGAATGTTCAATCGGATCGGTGGTGCCTGCGCTCGGTTTCCTGCAATTACTATCATCACCAGTACTACACTGGTTGGAGTTTTGAGCCTGGGATGGCTGCGTTTTGCTGTCGAAACTGACCCGGTTCGCCTGTGGGTGAGTCCGACCTCGGCGGCCGCGCAGGAGAAAGCCTATTTCGATGAGCATTTCGGACCATTTTACCGAGCCGAGCAAGCCTTCCTGGTCAATGATACCGGACCAGTGCTGAGCTACGATACGCTCAGCTGGTGGTTTGGTGTAGAGCTGAGGGTGCACCGAACATTGTCCCAAGATCGGGGACTCCTTCTCGACGACGTTTGCTTCAAGCCTACTGGCGATGCTTGTGTGGTCCAGTCTCTGACCGGTTATTTCGATGGCTCGTTGTCGAATCTAGACCCCGACACCTGGCAAGAACGACTCCAGCATTGTACCGAGTCCCCTGGAGATGTAAGCTGTTTACCCGCCTTCGGGCAGCCTCTAAGACCCGAAATGATTCTTGGTGGATATGAGAGTACCGGCAATGTGCTCGATGCACAGGCGTTGTTCACTACCTGGGTGGTGAATAATTACGCGCAGGGGACAGAAGAGGAAGCGGACGCCATCGACTGGGAAGAGACCATCCAGCAGATTCTTAGAGTCGTACAAGAAGAGGCTGAAGACCGCGGTCTTCGTGTGTCTTTCAACACAGAAATCAGCGTTGAGCAAGAATTGAACAAGTCCAGCAACACAGATGCTAAGATCGTGGTCATCAGCTATATTATCATGTTCATTTACGCGTCCCTGGCCTTGGGATCGGTCACAGTGACCTGGAAGTCGCTGTTCACGAACCCGGCTAACGCTCTGGTGCAATCTAAGTTCACCCTTGGCATTGTGGGCATCATAATCGTTCTAATGTCTGTGTCTGCTTCGGTCGGCCTGTTCTCCGCGGCAGGCATCAAGGTCACATTGATCATCGCGGAGGTCATCCCCTTCCTGGTATTAGCTGTCGGAGTGGACAACATCTTCCTCATTGTTCACGAATTTGAAAGGATCAACGTCAGCCATCCGGACGAAGAAATCGACGAGCGAATTGCTCGTGCAGTCGGCCGCATCGGCCCCAGTATCTTCCTCTCCGCTGCAACGGAGACTATTGCCTTTGCTCTGGGCGTCTTCGTCGGAATGCCGGCTGTGAAGAACTTTGCAGTTTATGCCGCAGGGGCTGTCTTCATCAATGCCGTCTTGCAGGTCACCATGTTTATCTCGGTTCTAGCACTGAATCAAAGACGCGTCGAAAGTTTGCGCGCTGATTGCTTCCCGTGCCTGACCGTCCGCAAGGCCCATTCTGGGATGTCTGAAGACCAGGTACTGGACGAGCACGATGGCGAAAGTATCTTGCAATCATTTATCCGCAAAGTCTATGCGACTTTCCTGCTAGAGCGCAAGGTCAAAGTCTTCGTGGTGATTACATTCTTAGGCCTTCTGACGGCTGGTATCGCTTTGGTTCCCGAGGTCGCCCTTGGCCTGGACCAACGCATTGCTCTGCCTAGCGACTCCTATCTTGTGCAGTACTTCAACGACCTGGACGCTTACTTTGGGAGCGGACCACCAGTGTACTTTGTGACAAGGAATGTGAACGTCACTGAACGTCGTCATCAACAACAATTGTGTGGACGGTTCACGACCTGTGAAGAGTTCTCCCTGCCATTTGTCCTGGAACAAGAATCCAAGCGTCCGAACGTTTCTTACATCTCCGGATCAACTGCGAGCTGGATCGATGACTTTTTCTACTGGTTGAACCCGCAAGACGACTGCTGCACCGAGGACGGCGAAGTGTGTTTCGAGGACAGGACTCCGGCATGGAACATCTCTCTTTATGGCATGCCCACAGGGCAGGAGTTCATGCATTATGCTGAGAAATGGATTCAAGCTCCGACGGACGCTTCTTGCCCTCTTGGAGGCAAAGCTCCCTACAGCAATGCGCTCGTCCTCGATCCCAAACGGATCATGACCAATGCCACCCATTTTAGAACAACCCACACTCCTCTCCGAAGCCAAGATGACTTTATCAAGTCTTACATCTCAGCACGGCGCATCGCTGACGGCCTCTCCAAGGAGCATGATATTGACGTTTTTCCCTACTCGAAAACCTATATCTACTTCGATCAATATGTGTCGATCATCCGGCTGACCGGGACCTTGCTTGGATGCGCGATTGCTATCATTTTTATCCTCACTTCTTCCTTGCTTGGATCCGTGGCTACTGGAGCGGTGGTGACGACCACTGTGGTAATGATCATGATCGACATTATTGGGGCGATGGCAGTCGCCGGCGTTTCCCTCAACGCTGTCTCCCTGGTCAACCTGATCATCTGCGTGGGCATTGCGGTCGAATTCTGTGCACATATCGCTCGTGCATTCATGTTCCCTTCGCGGGCTATCTTGGAGAAGGTGCCGACAAAGTTCCGGGGCAAGGATGCGCGGGCATGGACAGCTTTGGTCAACGTCGGCGGGAGTGTTTTCAGCGGGATCACAGTGACGAAGCTCCTCGGTGTCTGTGTCCTGGCTTTCACCCGAAGCAAGATCTTCGAGATCTACTATTTCCGGGTTTGGTTGGCACTGGTCCTGTTTGCGGCCACCCACGCTCTCGTGTTCTTGCCGGTGGCACTCAGTTACTTCGGCGGAGAAGGTAAGGCACTAGTGACAGCTTTGCGGTATCGTATGAGAGACTCGTTGCTGACAATAAACACAGGATACGCTGATCCTGGAGCCGATGGAGGCCTCGAGGAGAATCTTGCTGCGCGGGGCTACCGTTCCCTGCTGGTCGATGACGATTACGACTCTGACGAATATTAAATGTAGTACGGGAAGCTACGGAATCTTGGATGAACACTTGCTGTTTGTAGGTGTGGTCTATAATGTCCAATGGAGGAGATGTCACGCATAGTGGTCTGAAATATCGTTTCATATTCTTTTCATTCTTGATTATCATTGCAATGTTCGGGGGCTTGGAGTTGTCATGGTTGTCATCTAAGGAGTCTGGTTTCCGAGTACAATGAACTGAACTGTGTATCTGGTATCTGGCAGCAATCTATAACTAGACCTGCAGCTTTTGCGGCTTTCACTAGTTAGCTCTTCCTACCTGAATCATGCAATTTCAAACACTCCCTGTCTCACCACCATCCTTGATACCGAACCAAGCAACCGACGAAGCCTAGCTATCTGAATCTTGGACTTCACTTGTTCGAGGTGGGACTCGATCACAGACATATCCGCGTCCCAGCTCAGCACCGTCTCGGCCTCGAAGGTTCTCGACGCTGGCGCGTGCCCCCCGTCTTTCGCTGGCGAGTCCTGGTCCTTCTTCGTGAAGATCACTTCGTCCCCCATCTGCAGGGCCCCGTAGATGTCCTGAATTCTTGGCTGTCCCCTGACGGGCTGGAACCAATACTCCCGCTGGAGCGCGTCCACGCTCTCCCAGCATGCGGACCGGTTTTCCTCTACCACGGGGGGCTCGATGATCACCACCACGAAGCATCGACCGTTGCCGAAGATCTCGACGGTGACCACCTTATACAGGTCTTCGAGGAGCGATGGGGGCCTTCTGACGATGTAGCCCTCGCTCACGAGAAAGACTTTGCCGAGCGTCTCGAGCCACCGCTCCTGCCTGAGTTTCAGCCTTGCGGCGACAGCCAACCTACTCGCTGCTTCTTCTGGCATGGTAGATCACGGGGGTTGATGCGTGGAGGGTGTACTGGGTGTGCTGTAGTGATATCCTAGAGTAATGTGGACTCGACTGGCCGCGTTTTATAGTTCTCGAGTGAGTGAGGAGACAAGGCTTTTCGCATTGTTATTGATTAGAAAGCTCGGTTCTTGGGAGCCTTTGTGAAGAGGGGAGAACTCCGCTGGGTGTGCTGGATGCTTTAAAAACGAAAGCGTGCAGTTTTATTGTATGGTTGCTTTGTGGGCTTTTCTTTGGAGATCATGCGAGATGGTTATACGGTCTGGTCTGGTCTGGGTTCTCTGTCTGGGTCGAGCTCGGGATGCTTCTTCTGCTGTGGGAAGTACGTAGTATACCAGTAGTACACTTAACTGTTGGAAGTTACCCCACCGTCTTAGCAGTTCATGCAGCAAATCAAAACGTGAGTAGATTGGATCAATCATTGCCTTTTGCCCATCGGTTCGTTGCCGACCATGAGATCAAGTCGAGGCGAATGCATGCATGCAGCCTTCCGTGGGCCCATGTGGAAGTGAATGCATCTTGCATGTAAACCTTTTCTGTACAGTAGTGTAGATCCACCTAATGATGTTGCTGTTGATGTTGTTGTTGTGAGCACAAACTGTGGAGTTCGGGCAGCGACCCAAAGAAGTAACCATGCTTACCATTCATTACCTTGCCATTACCACACCAAAACACTCTTTTATGGTGGTGTAAGTTACCCTGAGACTGCCGCAAAACCGAGTGGTACAGACCGCTAGCCCGGAAGGGGCTAAATGCGCACCGCTGAACTCTCCAATTTTACCCACCCATAATTTTTTTTTTTTTTTCTCTCTCTCCGTCTCTCCGCCCATTTATTGCCAATTTTTTCCCCTCCATCTCCTTTTCTTTTTCTTCCTCTTCTCTTTTCTTCACTCTCCTCCCTCTTCCTTCTTCATCCCTCTCCCTCTTCTCCCTCTCCTCCCTTTTCCTTGTTGTGTGTCTCTCTTTCCTTTTTGTGCCATCTTTGTTTTTGTGATACCCTACGAGTTGTCCAGCTTGTGTAGCCGGCTCTCGTCAAACTCGTCAGTTCCTCTCTGAAAAGAAGGTTCTGCTCTTTTACCCCTCCGTGGGATCTTTCCAAAAATCTTTCCGATCTTCACAGAAGTTCGTTACACACATCATGGATCAGCAACGGTTCTTGCAACAACTTCAGATTGTCCTGAATCGTGAGTTCTTCCTGGACACTGCTACAGCCCTGCTGGTTGGGAATGGAGAAGACTAACTGTCCTGTGTAGCCTCTCAGGGCAACGTTAAGGAGGCTACCGGCGTCCTCCAGCGCGAGTTCTACAAGCAGCCCGAGTCCCTTGTGTTCCTGATCCAGATTGCCACCAGCCACGAGGATGCCAACTTGAGACAGTTGGCTGCCGTCGAGGCCCGGTCTCTCGTGGTCAAGCACTGGGTTGCGGTCCAGGCCAACCAGAAGCCCCAGATCCGTGAGCAGCTGCTGCGCTCTGCTCTCGGCGAGGCCTCTTCGTTGGTCCGCCACTCCGTTGCTCGCGTCATCTCTGCCATCGCCAAGATCGACTTGAACGATGGCGAGTGGGCTGAGCTGCCCAACTTCCTGCTGCAGGCTGCTAGCAGTGGCAACAAGGAAGAGCGTGCTGTCGGTGTCTACATCTTGTTGACCATTCTGGAGACTCTGGGTGACGCGTTCGAGGAGAAGTTCGAGGACCTGTTCAACCTCTTCAGCAAGACCATCAGTGACCCTGAGAGCTCGGAGGTCCGGATCAACACCCTCATGGCTCTGAGCAAGCTCGCTATGTACCTGGACTCCGAGGAGAACATGGGCCCTGTCCGCGCTTTTCAGAACCTGCTGCCCTCCATGGTGGCTGTCCTCAAGGATGCCATTGACAAGGAGCAGGATGATGAGGTCATGCAGGCGTTCGAGGTCTTCCAGACCCTGCTCGGCTGCGACCCTGCTCTCATGACTGTTCACCTGAAGGACCTCGTTGTCTTCATGAACGAGATCGCCTCCAACACTGAGGCTGATGAGGACACCCGTACTCAGGCCATCAGTTTCCTGATGCAGTGCATCCAGTACCGCAAGCTGAAGGTTCAGGGCATGCGCATCGGTGAGCAGCTCACGCGTAGCGCCCTCCAGATTGTCACTGAGCTCGGTGACGCTTCCGCCCTCGATGACGACATCACCCCTGCTCGCTCCGCCCTTGGTCTGTTGGACATGCTTGCCCAGAGCCTGCCCCCCAGCCAGGTCGTCGTTCCCCTGCTCCAGTCCCTTGGCCAGTATTTCAACAACACCAACCCCGACTACCGTCGTGCTGGTATCATGGCTCTCGGCATGGTTGTTGAGGGTGCTCCCGACTTTATCAGCACTCAGATGAAGGAGATCTTCCCCATGGTCCTTCAGCTCCTGGCTGATCCCGAGCCCAAGGTTCGCCAGGCTACCCTCCACGCTGTTGCTCGTCTCGCGGACGATCTGGCCGAGGATCTGAGCCAGGAGCACGAGAGATTGATGCCTTTGCTCTTCAAGAACTTGGCCAGCGCCATGCAGGAGTACAAGGGTGAGGAGGATGGTCCTACCATTGACATCATGAAGGCTGGTATCAGCGCCATTGATGCCGTCGTTGATGGTCTCGATGAGAAGGATGTTGCTCCCTACCAGAACGAGTTGGTTCCCATCCTCCACAAGCTCTTCAAGCACCCCGACTTCAGAATCAAGGGTCTTGCTGCCGGTGCTCTCGGCTCTCTGGCCTCTTCTGCTGGTGACTCCTTCCTGTCCTTCTTCGATGAGTCCATGCACCTCCTTCAGGAGTATGCCACGGTCAAGGATAGCGAGGAGGAGCTCGACCTTCGTGCTAGCGTCACCGACGCTATGGGCGAGATGGCTGCTGCTGCTGGTCCTGAGCGCTACCAGCCCTACGTCGAGCCCCTCATGCGTGCTACCGAGGAGGCTCTCCACCTTGGTCACTCCCGCCTCAAGGAGAGCACCTACATCTTCTGGGGTGCCATGTCCAAGGTCTACGCCGAGCACTTCTCTCCTTTCCTCGACGGCGTTGTCAAGGGTCTGTTCGCTTGCATCGAGCAGGACGAGACTGATTTGGATGTCTCCCTTGGTGAGGCCGCCAAGGATCTCGTCGGCCAGGAGGTGACCATTGGTGGCCGCAAGGTCCGCGTCGCCAGCGCTGATGATGACGATGAGCCTGTCGGTGAGGATGGTGAGATTGAGGATGTTGATGTCGATGAGGACGAGGATGCCTGGGACGACATCACTGCCACCACTCCCCTCTCTTTGGAGAAGGAGATTGCCGTCGAGGTCATTGGTGACCTTGTCACTCACACCAAGGCCGCGTACCTTCCCTTCTTCGAGAAGACTATCGAGATGGTCCTCCCTCTCGCTGAGCATCCTTACGAGGGTGTCCGCAAGAGCACCATCAGCACTCTTCACCGCTCCTACGCTATGCTGTACTGCATTGCTGAGGAGAGTGGTCAGATGGAGAAGTGGAAGCCTGGTCTTCCCCTTCAGGTTGAGCCTGCTCGTGAGGTGCAGAAGTTTGGTGAGATCCTTATGACCTGCACCATTAAGATGTGGACTGAGGAAGATGACCGGTACGTACACATATTTCCGCTTTTCTGTTCTGCACGCAAAGGTCTTGTCCGCTCATGCGGGTCAATTTATATGATGATCACCTCGTTTACCCAGCTCACTCAGACACACAAAAGTTGTGCATGCTGTCAACCACGATTTACTCACAACCTTCTGATATTTTGATGATCTTGCTGCTTTTATCACTTCATTCTCTGGTTACCATAGTTTCTAACCAGGCAATCTTAGGGCTACCGTCGCCGACATCAACCGCAACATGGCTGAGAACCTCCGCTACTGCGGTCCTGCTCTCATCGCCAACGAGACCACCCTGCACAACGTCATCACCATGATCACTGATATCATCACCAAGAAGCACCCCTGCCAGCTCGAGTTCGGTCCCGAGGAGGAGACCCTCGAGGCTGGTGAGGAGACTTCCGAGTTCGACTGGGTCGTTGTTGACACCGGTCTGGACGTTGTCTCTGGTCTGGCTGCTGCTCTAGGCGCGACCTTCGCTGAGCTCTGGAAGGTCTTCGAGAAGATCATCATCCGCTATGCCGGTAGCTCCGAGGCCCTTGAGCGTGCCACCGCTGTCGGTGTCCTCGCTGAGTGCATCAACGGCATGGGTGGCGCTGTGACTCAGTTCACCCCTGCTTTCTTGAAGCTTCTCGTCCACCGTCTTGGCGATGAGGATCCCCAGACCCGCTCCAACGCTGCCTACGCCGTTGGTCGTCTCATCGAGCACTCCAACGCCAACGACCTGATCGTCAAGGAGATCCCCACCATCCTCTCCCGTCTCGAGCAGTGCCTCCATATGAGCGCCTCCCGTCTGCAGGACAACGCCACCGGATGTCTGTCCCGCATGATCCTCAAGCACCGTGAGAGCGTCCCCATCAAGGATGTCCTTCCCGTCCTCGTCTCTATCCTTCCCCTCAAGAACGATTACGAGGAGAACGACCCCCTGTTCCGCATGATCTGCCAGATGTGTAAGTACTTTCCAGGACATACATCCATTGAACATTCGACTAACTTCACAACAGACAAGTGGGAGGACCCCACCGTCCGCGAGCTGACCCCTCAGTTCCTGCCCATCTTCCAGGCCGTCCTCTCTGACCCCGATCAGCTTGAGGAGGAGCGCCGCGCCGAGGTCATTGAACTCGTCAAGTGGCTCAATCAGATGCAGCCTGGTTCCGCCCCTTGGGCCGAGCAGCTGTAAATTGCTGGCTGAGTGACGTGACGACAAAAAGTTTGATGAACCAACACAAAAATACCCCTTTACATTAATGGATAGACTGGGTGTCTTGAGACACAACACAAAAGAGGGACGACATGATGGATGATGCTAGAAGATACCCCAGGGTCTGGACTCGAGGCCTTGTACGAATGCACTTTTTGATAAGATAGATCTGATCGATTTGGATATCACGAATCATGACTCTGCAGAAGTCGGATTGTAAATACTATTATTTTTGTTTTACTCCTCTCCTTTTCTGAAGTGTAGTTGCATTGTGGATTACTTGTATTTCTCTTGACGGGATGAAGTAGTTCGTGCCCGGTGTTTTGTTCTCTGTCTGAGGCGAATG